AACCGGGGAATCAGTCATTGCTGCCTCTTGAGGCCACGTTGGGTGTTCGATTCGCTCCCGCCTGTTCCAACACAGCGCCCCATGACCATATTCAGAATGAAAAAGCGTCGACCCCCCACCAAAGCGCGGAGTATGATTGCAAACGTATTTGCCTCCGACACATTCCCCTTTCCATCTTGACAGGCTTGAGCTTTTCCGCAATCTCATGTGTCAGCCCCAGAATTTGGAATTCTGCAAACCAGGAGCTCGGTTGATCCAGCGGGACGGAGCGAAGAATGAAACTGTTTCGGCCCACGGCGGTTTTCTTATGTTCTAGTTGATCCCATCTCCTTGAATGTGACCTCCCCCTCTTGCTCTATTGCGCGCCTGTCCTTCTCATCCTCCTTCCTCTGTTTCCCCGTGTGCCACGTCGCTGTGCCCACAAGGTTTTTTCGGATGCTCTTTCTTGCCATCTTGGCCCTCGTGGGCTGTCCGCGCTTATTCCCCGAGAGTCCCTCCCTTCTCCCCTTCTGTCCCTTCCCTCCATCCCTTCTCCTTATGAATAACTCCTCCCTGTCTCAGTCCCAGGCGTGTCTGTAGGCCGGGCCGGGCGTTTCGCTTGAGACTTCCTTGCACTTTAGGACCGCCAAGCTTCAAATTTGCAACAGTTACAAGGATGTGGCTCTCGCCTTAGCGCCGCGCACATTCGTCTTCGAAATTTCCAACAGTTACAAGGATGGAGGGCGGGTGGTTTTCAAAATGTGGCTCTCGCCTTAGCGCTGCGCGCGTTCGTCTTCGAAACTTCCAACAGTTACACGGATGGACGGCGGGTGGTTTTCAAAATGCGACTCTCTTCTTAGCGCCGCGCATATCTGTTGTTTCAATTTCCAACAGTTACAAGGATGGAGGCCGGTTCCTTTTCAAAATGTGGCTCTCGCTTTTGCGCCGCGCACATTCGTTTTCAAAATTTCCAACAGTTGCAAGGATCGAAGCCGGTTCCTTTCCAAAATGTGGCTCTCGCCTTAGCGCCGCGCACATTCGTCTTCGACGTTGCAACAGTTACACGGATCGAGGCCGGTTCCCTTTCACATTATGGCTCTCGCCTGAGCGCCGTGCACATTCGTTTTCTGAATGCCAACAGTTACACGGATCGAGGCTCGTACCTTTTCAAAATGTGGCTCTCGCCTAAGCGCCGCGCACATTCGTCTTCGAACTGCCCAGCAATAATTCCATGGATCGAGGCCAGTTCCTTTTCAAAAAGGGGTTCTTGCGTTAGCGCCGCGCTCATTTTAAGATCGCCCCTGAGCTTGTTTCGCGACTCCCTGTCAAATGATACCATGCGGCCAGCACTCGACATGTCTCCTCACGCGCAAGGGCTCCAAGACCGCCCTGGGTCCGAAAGACGGCCCAAGGGCACCCCACCGAAGAGGGCCCCCAGAGGGGTCCAAGAGGGGGCCAAGAGGAGGGGACACGAACGGACATTTCGACCCCCCCGCCCAGGCTGTTGCAATTGTCGCTCCATTGGATGCCCGCTCCGACCAGGGGGCGGCCTCCCGAGGCCAATGACGTCAAAAACCGTCGCATTGATTTTGCCACGACGTCGGATGTCTGCGTCGGGCGCGCCCCTCGCGGGCGTCGGCCGGTCCGCCGCTCCGGAACGCCGCGGCCTGGCTGATCGGCGACAGCCAGGGGTCTCATTCAACAAGCGATCGCGCGCACGCACAGGGCTACCCAAGTTCTGCCAGGGATCACGTGTAAGTACTTATGAGGAGGGAACATGGGACGGGAGGGGATGTTCCTTGCGAGCACTACTAATCTTCAGTTCACTCTGGTCCTCCTCCTCCTCCTCCTCCTCATCCTCCTCTCCGTCCTCGTCCTAGTCGGCGTCGGAGGCCCAGGCAATTTGAGCTCCGACGAAGTGGTGATTTGCCACTGAAGCTCTCACGATTTCCGCTCCATGCTTTCTCCGATTCCGGTCGGGCGGGCGAGAGGGAGTATGGGGGGGAGGAGGAACGGAGAGAAGAAACAATCCCTGTAGCCACTCCGATACCGTACATACTTTCTGCGAGACTTTCTCGCGTGGCAGGGTCGTAAGCTGGCGACGGATTTTTCTTGTGCCGCAGTTGTCCATGTTCATGGAGGATTGGAGGGCGACCTTGAAAACAACGACCAGCCAACAACGCTGGGAACGGATCCGCCGTACTCATGCTCGGAAGTGCCAGATTGCTAAGATTGCACTTTGCGAACAATTGGTTTATCAAGTGCCGTCGCTAGACAGCAGCTACCAGAGGGAAGATGGAGGCCCCGAGGTTCGGAGGCAATCGCAGGGTGCCAAAGGAAATCCTCGAAACCCCATACGCGACTCAGAACATTGGGAACAGCTGCGCCAGGAGTGTGGCCCTGTAGCAAATGAGGGGTCAAAGAAACAGAGACATGTTTTGGGAAAAGGATGGCGTTGGATATAAAAGATCAATTTCGGCAGCGGAACCCAATTGGCCCAGCGCTGCACTAGTTTGCCCGCTGGCGAGATAAGTGGAACGACGAAACCAGAGGGAAGATGGAGGTTGCGAGGTTCGAAGGCCAAGGGCTTTCGCCAAAGATGAACTTCGAAAACTCATGACCGCTCTGTTGGAGGCTGATAGTCATAGACCACCGCAGCGTAGACGAAAGCAGGCGACTAAGAGGGAAGATGGCGGCCCCGAGGTTCGGAGGTCATTGGCATCTGCCGATGATGGACCCGAAAACCATGGACTCCCCAGGGGAAACGGACGATAAGGAGATCTGGAACGAATGCGGCCAACCTGGTTGCTTGAAAGGTTGAGCCAGGAGATCGACACGCTTGTTCGTCGCCAGACAGAGAAGGTCCGGGAAGGTGGAGGTCCCGAGCTTCAGAGGCCACCGACTGGTGCCGACGACGGACTTTGAAAACTCATGCTCCTCGATAGTGGCCCTGACACCGCAACGTTTCTGGAATTCTTCAGTCATGCAGCGACCAGCGAAGGAATCACGAATAGCGCTTCGAAAACACTGTGCACGGAAAGGGGGATGCCACGGAAGAATTTGTTGAAGTGCCAGGTCTCTTGCTTCGCAGAGGGATCGTGCAGGTTCGGAGGAGGTGGAGAAGGAGTAGGAAGCTGAGGCAAAGGGACACACAAAATTACCTAACGGGGGCTCCCTCGGACCTCTTGCAGGTTGAAGACGCAGTTGTTGAAGGGCTTGTCGTAGAAAAGGACACGCAAGCGCAAAGGACGGACGGCATTTTTGACACGATTTGGAGCAAGATTGGCCTGCGGATGAATTCTGGCGCAAATTAGCTTCCAGCGGCACGGTGCGCACTTTGGCAGAAGTGGAATGCGTTTTTTTTTCGGGATGGGAGAGCGTTGGTGGAGGCATTGCCATATTGGGAGACAAATACGAAACCGTTACCCCGCGAAAATGACATTTTCTCCGAAGAGGGAAAGTCTCGTCCTCCTTCAATCTTCTGCGCGTGCCGCATGTATCCCCAGATTTTCTGGGACAAATGTGACCTTTCAGGGAACGGAAAGAGCGGACGAAGAGCATTCCCCAGCGCGTTTGGTGCGGGAAGCGGAATCTGAGCGCGTGTAGCGCGGGGGGCATCTGCCGCGGCGTAGTAAGTGGAGAGCGCCAGCCGGGACATCTCGGGGCGCTGGAGATTCCGTGGAGGTGTGTGGGGGGGGGGCGGGAGGGGGGGGGGGGGCGTCTCGGAGCGCAGGAGCTCTGTTTAATCGACTGGGGGTTCAGAGACCCCCCCCCATACTTCAACTTGGGAACCCTGTTCGCCAGCGCGCCTCCCGGAGGGGGCGCGCGAAAAGGCCAGCAGTTGTTCCCCTCGACTTCGCCCCCTGGAGTTCAGGGGCATGCCCCCCTGCCTGTCCCATGAGGAGTCTGGTGCTGCGGCAAAATCTAATAGCAGGGGATCTTTATAGTTGCACGCACAGCTCTTTCGTAGGTGTTGATGTTGACCCGTTTTTACGCGGATGAGCATGACCATGACCTCCTCGTCCTCCTCGTCCTCTTTTTCCTTCTCCTCCTCCTGCTCCTGCTCCTCGTCCTCCTCCCCCTCCTCGTCCTCCTCCTCCCCCGCTACCTCCTCCTTGCGGGCACTGGCGCCCCTCTACCTCCTCCTCCTCCTCCTCCTCCTCCTCCTCCTCCTCCTCCTCCTCCTCCTCCCCCTCCTCCTCCATTCCTCTTCCTTGTGCATAACTTTTCCTTGTCGCACCCCGAGACCACTTATTAGGGCGGGCGGCGCGTTTCGCGTGAGATTTTCTTTCTCACCACCCACGACCCCGACATTTTATGAATGGCAACAGATTCGCAGATGAGGGCGGGCCGTTTCTAAATGTGCCTCTCGCGTTAGCGCCGCGCACATTTACAATAGTTTTGCGGATTGAGGGCGGCTCGTTTTCAACATGCGGCTCTTTCCCCAGCGTTGCGCGCTTTCGTTTAGAATATTTGCCAGAAGCTCACGGATTGAATTCGGGTCGTTTTCAACATGTTGCTCTCGCTTTAGCACCCTGCGTATTTCTTACATTTGCCCGAACTTCACGACTTGAGGGCGGCTCCTGTTCATAATGTGGCTGTCGCCTGAGCCCCGCGCACATTCGTTGAACAAATGTAAGAGTTTCACATATTCCCGGGTTCAACGAACCAGAGATGGTGTTTTGGGAAGAATTCAGGGGCACGCGGGCGCAACAGTTATGTTGATTCGCGGTGTTGAAGTCCCACAAACGGCGTTCTTGCACGATTCCGGATCGTCATGACGCAGCGGTCAGGTTGATCCGTGGCGTAGAAATCCCGAGAACATTGTTCCGGCATGGTTCAAGGTCTTCGAACGGTTGGCGGGAGGGTTAATTCCAACATCGTTACCGACCCTTGGGTTTACACAGGTCTTCCTCCTCCTCCTCTTCTTTTTTTTCCTCCTCCTCCTCCTTCTCTTCCTCCTCCTCCCTCCCCCGCCCTCGTCGCAAAGGCGCAAAGGGGGGGGGCTGGGGCGAGCGGAGGCGCGCCCGCCCGTGGCGCTGCGCCGGCGCGGCAGCAGCAGGCGAAGGGGGGGGTGGGGGAAGCCTGGGGTGGGGCGGGGGGGGACGGGGACAGGGGGGGAGGGACGGGGACAAGGGGGGGGAGGGAGGGAGAAAAGGGGGGTGGGGAGGAGGACGGGGGGTGAGGGAGAGGAGGGGGTAAGGGGGGGGGGGAAGGGGGGGAAGGGGAAGGGGGAAGGAGGGGAAGAGGGGAGGGGGAAAGGGGGGGAGGGGGGGAAGGGGGGAGGGGGGCCGAAAGCCACGCGACCAGTTCTTCAAGAGCTGTGTCCGGTAGGTGGCGCTGTCTGTGGGTAGGAGCCCGGGACCATAACCCCAACGTCCGGGGGTCCCCGTTGGTGACGGGGGTGGGAGCCCACTCGGGTGCCCCGGGGCCTGTTTAAGGGTGGGCATGGGCGGGGGTTGAGGGGGACAGGGGGTGAGGGAGGGGGAGGGGGAACGGAGGAAGGGGGGGGGGAAGAGAGTGAGGGGGGGGGGGAAGGAGGGCAAGAGGGGAAGGGGAGAGGGAGGTGGCCAATACTACAGCGGGAGCGCCAATTGGAAACGCCGGAAACGATCGGCTTGGGAGAATGCGTGAGACATGTCAGCGTGTGAACTTCTGTGTAGAAGAAGAGTACGCGTAAGGCGGAATGTCTTCCAGGCGTAGCCAAGGAAGAGAGTACAATACAGTCAACGCGCCTAGTAAGGACGCGCGCCTTCATCCAGGATACCCTTGCGTCCTTGCCTCTGTGGCCCGTCCTTTGCCGTTTTCACTGGTCGCCGCCGCCCAAAGAATACCAATTTCAGCCTCCAAGGGTCTTGCGTCCTTACCACGCGTCCTTACTATACGTTTTCACTGTAGTAACAATAGTATTCATGTTAAGTAATTCTGAAGGGGTCTGTGGCTCCGCTGGTCTGTGGCAGCGGTGATGGCCCTCGGGCCGGGAAGGCATCCCCGTCACTGAGAAGGTGGAAAGGAGGCCGGAAGGACGGGGTGGCGGGAGGGAGGGATGGAGGGGAGGGGGGGAAGGAAAGGTGAAGGGGGAAAGGGGGGGAAGGGGGAGAGGGGGGGAGGGGGGTAAGGGGGGCACGCACGAAACCGACAAATGCGCGGGAAATGGACGTCCGAGCGACGGCACGTGGCGCGTGCTGTTCGACTAGACGTAAGAGTGACCCTTCGCTGGAGTGACATTTGGTGCGGGCACAGATGGGTCCCCGGATGGCTGAAAGCGGAACAGGAGCAGCTGCTGGCGCGCACGGGTTTGGTCCCCCCGCGGCCCCCCAAAAGCCGCGCACCAAAGGTCACTCTTAATGGAGGATGACGATTAATAAGTGACCGGGGGTCGTGTTCACGCGGCGGCGCCCGGGATGACGATTAGAAACAACCGGCCGCGGGCTGGACAACTATTTTTTGAATCGTTCTCCTCCAGTCAGAAAATTGTGCAGAAATAGCAGATTTTTTTGTTTTATCATTCTCTCCCATGTTTTATTAATCGTCATCCCGCATTACCCAGGGTCACTCTTGCGTATCGCCGAGACCTCCTGGCAAGGGCTCATTTCGACGCCTCCGATTCGACGCAGTTCGACTTCGACGGCTTCCGATGCCGATTCGATTCGGCTGCGGGTTCCGATCTGGGCTCCGGTTTCCCAATGGAGGCCTCCTAACCTGCCGATTCCTGTCGATCCGATTTTTCCCGACTCGGCTGCCGATTTCCGCCGATCCGATTTGTTTCGATCGCTGGTCCGACTTATCGGTTCGATTCTGGGGGCGCCTGCCTGGCGAGGTAATGCTTGTTCGAGGATATTCCGGACGTGCGTTAGCCCAATGTGCGTTTACTCTGTTCAGTCCAACTAGTCGATCATATCGCCGTCGTCGTATGGACGGGCCTCAGTGGGCAAACACACACTGGCGCTAGCACGCGCTCTGAACGTGTGTATGATCGACAGCCGAAGAGGAGCACGTGCTTCCTGCCCTCGGCAGCAGAGATTGGCTCGAGGAGCTCGCCCACCGAGAAGGAGCACGTGCTTCCTGCCCTCGGGATAGCAGAGATTGGCCCAGGAGCTCGTCCATCGGTGTGAAGCAGCAGTGCAACACAGGATCCCGTTGACACGCTCGTGCAGGTGTTCTCCAGCACGATGCTCCTCCTTCCCGAAGACAACATCAAATATACATATATATATATATATATGTACATCTCTGATGATCGTCCGCAAGACTTAGGCATGCTCTTTGCACTGCTGAGAAGCAGGCCTGAGAAACCAGCTCATCCCCAGAGGTCCGTTGCTGTCACCGTGACGTTGCGCAGCTGATGCCGGCGTTGGTGCGGGGAAGGGGCGTTGATTACCCGCGCCTCCCGACGTTTGCCTCACAATGGCGATGAACCGACGATGCGCCGCCCGCGATAGCTTCGATGAACCGACGATGAATCTCGCGACGACGATGAACCGACCACGAGCCTCGCGACGGCGATGAGCCGACGATGCGGCACCAGCTGGTCAGCTGTTGGCTGCGATTTCGCCAGTGGGCAGCCGCGAGCAGGCAGGCCCAGGAGCAGTTGCCAAGGTGGAGGCCGAGTCACACCGCCTGTTCACAAAGAGGTGGTAAATGATGGTGCCGACGTGTAGATGCCCGAGCATGCCGGACAACACAGGATGGAGCAGTCGGGGTCACTGGCGAATCCCACAGACCAAGGCAAAGAGGATGTTCGTTGTGATTCTGAGCTAGTGGCATAGTGGCGGACAATCAGAGATCTCAGCACGAAGGTGCACCGGGGCAGCTCTGGCCAATTGTAGTACCATCGAACATCTCAAGATGCCAGGGCAGCGGACTCGAGGGAGGAACTCCCAACATAGGAACACTGGGTTGCTGGGCCAGACATGTGCACATGCTGGGGCCATGCATAGCGAGAAGAGAGAACAGCGTCAGTGCAAGTGTAATCTGGAGAAGCAGAGAGTGGCGTGGCAGGACGGACAGGGGTGGTAGGCAAGACAGAATGAGCACGCTAGGCCGATGCGCAATCCAGCAGGAGCGGGCAGGCAACAGTCTCCACCGACGAGGATGGGGAGTATACGCTGGAGATGCGCAATTTCCCTGGATCTTGGTGGGCTGGAGACTCGGGGTGTGCTACTCCTGGGGTCATTTGCTTCGGCCTCTGCAGCATTGTGCTGCCCGTGTGCAGCCAGCCTGAGTCGGGGTTTCAGATTCGTGGTCTTGCTGAGCCTGAGTCTGAGCGTAGATGCCAGAAGTTCCGCCATAGTTGCATGCAACTGTGTTTGTGCATTCGCACTTTCACAAGCCCGTGCCGAATGCGTAGTTGCGGCTGCGTACCACGAACGTTGGTTCGATGAATGGCATGTGTTTTGTGTTTTCTGTTTCTCCAAGCAGTGCGTGCACTTAGCAGTTCTTATTTTTGTTAAAGGCACTCGGCCTGAAACCTGGTCTGGCGGCTACGTTGGTGCCGCCGCCGCCCCGTCGCCGCCTCGTCCCCGCCCGTCGTCTGAGCCTGAAACTTGGTCTGGCGGCTCTGTCGTCACCGTCGCCGCCCCGTCGCCACCTCGTCGCTGCCCGTCGCCTGAGCGTTGCCGCGCAGTGTAATCCAGTCGGTTGCAATGCAAATCGCTTGCAAAGCATAGATGCCACGACATAGACTGCAACACATAGCTTCCACGACTGCAACCCAAACGATTGCAATCCAATCGATAGTAATCCAATCGATTGCAATTCGATCGGTTGCAATCGACTGCGCCGCATATTTTACACCACATAGCTCACACCATCTGGATGAGTACGGTCGCCAGTTCGCGGGCGCGCCAACAGCATTGCAGTCGCCAGCAGTTGGTCCTCGGAAGACCGCCAAAGACCGCCAGAGATTCCGGATATTTACCAACAATCGCCAATGACTGCCGACAGTCCGTTAGAAGACATCCGATTCCGCTCAAGGCGGATGGGAAGCAATTGGTCCATGGTCGAACGGGCAACGTGGGCAGGGTAGCACCCGACAACTTCCAGCAGCTGGACGCCAAGATTAAGCATCTGCTGGAGAAGTTCGGGAAGCTGCGGGAGGAGGGGCGGGGACCGCGCTGCGGTCTCGGCGACGCGCGCTTCACTACCAGCCTGGAACATGTCCCTATCCCCATGCTGGGCACCTCCTCATCACGATGCCAATCTTGGGGATTCCCTTATTTTTTGAGGGCGAATCCCTAAGGTCGTCATCGCCTTTTGGCGTGTCAATCTTAGGGATAGGATATGTTCGAGGCTGGTAGCTTCAGGTATTACGTTGCCCCTCCTCTGCCTGCCCCCCATCCTCCGGGCTCCCTCCTCCGTCGCCGTCGGGCCAATTCCAGCAGGCAGTGCTTAGTTTGCAGCGCGGTGCACTCATGCCGAAGACTGTGACGTGCTCGTGGACTTTTGAAGTCGATGCCGTTTGGCTTTCAGGCTCGACGTCGCTCCACGAAGCTCTCGTGATGAGTACTGGGATCCCCTATGCGACGGGCGGCTTTTGCGCGCCGATTTCCTTAGACTTTCTTCGAGTGTGCCTTGTTCCAGCGTAGCGTTAATACATGCCTCGCAGGTGAGCAAACATGCGTGGATTGCGGTTTGATTTCGCACATCTCCGCCTTCTAGGCAGACCGTGTGACATAACATAGCCTGGGATTGTTAGTGACCAGTGTTCTTTACAATCAACGCGCATAGAAAGGACGCGCGCCTTTTCAAGGATACCCTTGCGTCCTTGCCACTGCGGCCCGTCCTTTGCCGTTTTCGCTGGTCGCCCTTTCGTCCAGACATCCCAACTTCGGCCTCCAAGGGTCTTGCGTCCTCACCACCCACCCGTGAGATACGTCTTCGCTGTGCATGTTTCTGGACACCTGCCGCCTGAGGCCCCGCCCGCCCGCGCCCTGGCTCCCCAATCAGGGCTTCGCGCGCCCCGCCTAGCTCTTGACCGGAAGGGGCCCGCTCCCGACCCGCCGACCCCCCCAAAACACATGTTTCTGGACACCTCGTGTCTCGTTCGCCGTCCGCGCTCCCCGGTTCGACCGCGGCCGGCGGGGGAGAGGCCACGGCGGCTCCCGAGGCAGGCCCGAGCGCACACGCCGAAGAGGCGCAGAGAAGGCCCCGCGGGAGGCCGAGATAGCACAGTCAACGCGCATAGTAAGGACAAACGACTTTTTCAAGGGTACCCTTGGGTCCTTGCCTGCCTCAGCCTCTGCGGCCCGTCCCTAGCAATTTTCGCAGGCCAGAATACTTCAATTTCGGCCTCCAAGGGTCTTGCGTCCTTACCACGCCTCCTTACTAGACTTTTTCATTGTATGAGGTTTCAGCAGCTTCCAGCAGATCTCGAAGAAGAAGAAGAAGAAACGCCATGAGCATAAACTTTTGGCGCTCTGCGCGGATTTCTTGGATCCGCGCTGGGCCCCCCCGGCAGCGCCTCCGGCGCCGCCCCTGGCGCGCGGAGCGCGCCAGGGAAGCGGGTCAAGCGCAGATCCAAGGAATCCGCGCGGAGCGCCAAGAGTTTCTGTTCATGTCGTTGTTTCTTCTTTTATTCTCTCCCAATTACCTGCACTTGCTGGGGCGAGGCTCAGCCACGCGCGAGCGAGTCGAGACGGAAAGCGTCTCCTCGTGTACGGAAAGCTCACGCTCACGATGACAGTTGCCCGGTGCTGCACGAACGGAGCCAAATGCTTATTGCCACTCTTGGTGGCGAGCTCCAGCAAGGGGTGCCTACCCTGCCCCCCTGCCGGCAAGGCACGGGGGGGGCGGCAGAGGACATGGTTGATCAGACGGCAGGGGCCGGTGGAGAACGCCTGGGCATCTGTATGGTCTTCGGTTTCTTCTGCGGGAGTGGCGCATCCTGCGTGAGGTCTGGGCCCCTGTTCCTATCTTGGTTCCTCCTGAGGAGGCCCAGGCGAAAAATGACCCCCCCCCCAAGTATAATTCGAACAGAAAGCCGAAATCCAGCTGACCCCACCCGTGCTCTCGCACATCTTTGCGCCTTGGTTGTTTTTGTCCGTGCGGCTGGTTTTTGTTTGGAATGCGCGGTTAGCGTGGCTATGGCGCGGCAGTCTCTCGCGCGTGCTTGTGTCAGGTTGGCGCAGCCAGCGATGGCGTCGTAGCGAACGGCGCCGAATCGTTACGATTGCGTCCGCTTCGGGGCCGTTCGTGCGCGCTGCGTCATTCGAATTTGTCGAGCTTTCTTCGGTGCGTCTCGCGCGCGCCAGCCCTTGCGCCGACGCTTCCGTTCGTCGTGATGAATATGCGGCGGTCCAATAACGTTGTATTCCACTGCGGAGGTCCACGTCGAACCAACAACGTCCATTCAAGTATGTTACGGCTTGCTTCCACTATCACCGTCGTATTCGTTGTCGCCATCAGTTCCTTGTTCTTCTTCACGTCACTGGTATGTCTTCCCAGGCCTGCGCGGGCCCAACCTCTTATCCCCTCCCTCCTGCCCTTGTCCTCCTTACTTTTTACCTTTCCCGATCCTCATCGGTGGTCCCTCATCCTTTCCCCTTCCTGTCTACGTTGTCTTCCCTCGAGCCTCCCTCATCTGTCCTCCTTCCGCCTCTTTCCCCCTCCTTCCTTCCCTCGTCGCATTCCCGCCTTCCCTTCGCGCCCTCCTTGCCGTTCCTCCCGCCTTTTTCTCCGGGCGGTCTTCCTCCCCGTTCCTGCAGCCATGATGCTCCTCCGTCGCGTCCCTCCTGTTTCTCATCGCACCCCTCCTTCCTGCGAGGTCCCATGAGGCCATGTTGGAACCCCCGGGGATCGGGCCCGTGGCTGGGGTGCGGCCTGGCGGCGGCGGGGCCGCGACGGGGCCGTAGCGGGGATCCGGCTGGGAAGTTACACGGCGGCGGCTTTTTTAGAGGGGTGGCAGCTTTTTGTTCGGGGGCGGCGGCTGGGCCGCGGCTGGGCGGCGGCGGGGTCGCGGCGGGGCCGCGGCGGGGATTTGGCTGGGAAATTGCACGGCGGCGGCCGGGATTCGGCTGGAATTGTTGCCAGGCGGGGGGGTGTCCGCGGGCCACAGAAGCGCGTCCGCAGCGAAGTTGTGGATCGCGACTTGCGTTGGTCAGTGCACCTTCGGCTCACTATTGCTCGCGCCGGGCGCCCTCGGATCGTAGCGGGCTGCGTATTCAGCGTGCTTTACATAGGAATTGCGTAAATGTTTGATCTTTGTGATTCGGCTTCGCAGTCATTCTGCGCTGTGGCGGCATCGTCGTTTCGACATATTTTTTTGTCTGCTTCGCAGTCGTGCTGCGCAATGCGGCGGTATTCTTGTTGCGGCGCGCCCCTGTTCTGCCTCGCAGTCGTGCTGCGCTGCGTGGTGTCGGTTTCGCGTTGATTCGCGTGCGTGTTTTCTGATTTGCTATCGCGCTGCGCTGGGTGGCGATATCTTTGTTTCGACGCGTGGGCCCGTTTTTTTTCCACGGGCGTGCGCGTGTCCGTGGCTATTCCATTGCAGTGGCAACGCTCTCCTTTGATGCGCCGGGGGGATGCGTCGCCCCCCCCTTCGTTCGACGCGGCCGGCTTCCATTCGCCGCGGTCGCCCGCTTGCGCGGCGCAGCGTAGCGCTGCAGTTTTTTTTGCTTTGCCACGCCACAGCAGGCGGCGAAACGCCTCGCCCCCGCCCTTCTGGTCACTTCGCTCGCGGCGCGGCATTCTGCGCCGCGCGGCAAGCTGCGCACTGCGAGCGCGCGTTATTGAATTGGGCATTGTCCAAGACCGCGCGGCTCTGCTCCTCTGCCACCCCCGATTTCCCCCCCCCTTCCAATCGTCCCCTCTCCATCCCCGCTCCTTGTCCTTTCGTCCAGCTTCCTCGACGCTTCGCCGCCGCTGCGCCGGTGCCCTTCTCTGCGAGGCTGGTGTCTTCGGGGTCCTCTCTCGCTTCGGGGGGGCTGTCCCGCGGCGGCTCTGCGGCCGTGCGAGCGCCGTGCCACCCCCTGCTTTTCTCTTAGGGGGGGGCCCTTCGACGCGCGCTCGCCTGGGCGTCCTCAGTTCCTCTTGCCTGTCGCGCAAAGGCACCGCTGGGCTGGCAGGCCGATTTCAACGTCTTGTGCAGCGAGTTGATTCTCTTTGCCCATCCACTATCCTGCTCCTCATCTTGCTCACTTCACCCTAATTGTTTGACTTCCACTACCTGCGATATGGTGTGGGCAGTGAGCAGTTCAGGTGCCTTCCGACGATCCTGCATCCTTTAAAATCGCAGTGCGAGGAATGCATACGCAGCAACATCACAACAACGTCTACATATCTGGATGGCATGCACGCATGGGGCCCAGATTCTCCGGACGCGTTCGAACCGTCTTGGGTTTGATGCTTGTTCCCCTGCGTGGTCGGGACACGATGTGGTGCTACAGCGTGGTGGTACGAGTGGCCATCCTTCCACACGAAACATTTGATTTTAGACGGCAGAGCGCACCGTTTGCAACCCACAGTCTCGTTCAGGCTGTCGCGGATTGCGTCACAGCAGCAGTGGTCGCGTAACACTCGGCATGCGACATGCCATCGCTTCGTTGCCCACAGGTTGCACGCGCGCGCTGATCCGCGTTAGTCCCCGTTGTATTGTCCTCTCTGGGCCCAAGAGGAGCATAGCCAGTATCGATGTCTGTGCATTGCTGGCGGGCGGCTGGATTCATGTTCCTCATCCTCACCCCTGCGTTGGATCCTCTTGCCTTTGCGCCTGCCGTTGCTATTGTAACACTGCTGGTACGAGGGGCGCGGGTTGGTCAGGCTCCCACCATAACGGGGTCTGGTTCCAGCGTGGTGGCCAGCGCCACGTTCCTCGACAGGCATCGGGCCGTGGGTGTATGGAGAGGAGGAGGAGAAGGAGGAGGAGGAGGCGGAGGAAGAGGAGGATGAGGAGGAGGGGGATGTAGGAACCTAGCGACTGGAACTGTTCAGTGCTAGCTGCAACCTGGATAGCCATCTACACAACCTGTTTTTCATATTTTTCCCACGGGCACGGCAATACAGTCACCCTGCGGTTGGACATCGGGCGGTGGGTGGGTAGGTGAAATTAGGAGGAGGAAGAGGAGGAGGAACGGGACGGACGGGCCCAGCATGTGAAATGATTACGAGCGTGTTGCAGCTTGGAGAGCAAGTTGCCCTAACTGCGTCTGCCACCATGTCACACCAGCAGGGCAACACGCCCAGACATGCGATGTCTTGTCATTGTTCGGTACGGGGCCCCTGGATGTCCCAACCCTTTCCCCGGGGGCCTCTTCTTCATCGCGGGCATCGCCAGCCGGAGTCATTGTTGACGGTCCCAGGGCGCGGCGAGGGTTCCGCCATGATGGTTTCCCAAGACGTGAGCATGTGTGGGCAGCCACCTTGCGATTGGACATCCAGCATCTTTCGATTCTGGGAGCAGCGACGGCGATGGGACCGCTCTTGTTCGGGACCGCAGGGGACGCTCCAACACATTGTGGTTGAGCCGTGTGTTCGGGGCCACGGGCGGGGCATGGGGTGCCTGGAGGACGCTGCAGCCCAAGCGTGCTTGCCAGCTCGATGGCGCACCATGCTTCAGTGTCCCACTCGCCCAACCCGACCCGCCTGTCAAGGTCCGCCCTCCCGACCCGACCCGCCCGTCAGAATCTGCCCGCCACGCCCCATTCGCCCCGCGCGCGTGCCAACTCGAGGACGCCGGGCCCCAGGACCGTCAGAAAATGACTCGGGATGAAAACCAGCACTGGGAAGATGGTCGGGACTTCTGGAGACGAGGAGGAGGAGGAGGAGGAGGAGGAGGAGGAGGAGGGAGGAGGAGGGAGGAAGGAGGACCAGGAGGAGAAATTGGACCCGCGTTGAAGGAAACAGGACGTTGGAGACTGGGGTTGCCCCTCCTTTTCCTCCCCATCATCCTCCTCTCCTCCTCTTCCTCCTCCTCCTCCTCTTCCTCCTCCTCCTCCTCCTCCTCCTCCTCCTCCTCCCCCTCTTCCTCCTCCTCCTCCTCCTCATCATCTTTCTCCTCTCCATCCTCCTCCTCTTCCTCCTCCGTAGCCATTTTGGCTCAAGCTGCTTTGTTCCACAGGTGAACACGTGGATACCGCTAGTCCGCGGCCAGTTCCAGGGTTGTTCAGCCCGACAGTTGTGGCAAGAGGTGGTCCGCCCCACCTTCTCGAGTCTGCGAAGTGCCCGCCATGGCGCCGAAGGCTCAGCCAGGTTTCGTCATCTGCACAGGGGTGCCGCTTGAGGTTGAACTTCCGCAAGCACGCGACCTGCTGGCAGTGCGGGCTCAGCCTGGAGCTCCGTCCTGGCAAGCCGTCGCCCCGTGGCGGTGTCTGGGCGGACGGAGCGCCGAAGCCAGGCTCTGGCTCGGGCCGCAACTCGCCCATGGGCGGCAACAAGGGCAAGGGCGGCAACGGCGGCGACGTTGGCGGCAAGGGCGGCGGCACCCCCGCGGCTGGCGGTCGGCCCATCTTCCCGAAGGCCCCCTGGTCGTCTGCGGCGCCGAGCGAGCTCGACCAGCTCCTGGCCGTCTCTGACCAGGCCATCGCGGATCGGCTGCGCGAGGCGGTGGATGCAACGAGGGGGTTCGTCCCGCAGCCGCCCGCGCCCGTGCCCAAGACGCTGGAGCAGCAGCTGCAGTCGGCCACCGACCGCCGCATCAACTGGCAGCGCCAGCTGGACGAGGCCATGGATGCCATGGCTGCCGCCGAGGAGCAGCTCGCCGAGTGCCGCAGCTGGCGCGACTCGTGTTCCCTCAGCCTCGCCGAGGCCCAGGCGGAGGAGGCCCCGTCGGGCTCAGGCTTCGGGGGTCGGCACGCCGCCGCATGAGGCAGGCGAGCAGCTCGCGTTCAACTTCGACGCTGAGCCCCTCGAGAACTCCGGCGAGCTCGAGGAGGAGGCTCAGAACACCCCCAGGCAGATGTGCACCGAGGGCCTCGAGATCACGCGCGCTGCCCAGCAAACGTTCGAGCATAACTGCCAGGGGCAGATGCGCCGCATCAGGCAGGAGGCGGCGGAGGCGGTCGCCAAGAAGCGCAAGCGCGGGGGCGCTGAGGAGGCCGACCAGACCAACACCGAGGACGCCGCGGCACAGCCTTCCCAGGAAGCCCCGCCAGCTGGAGGAGGCCCAGCAACAGAGCAGCACGCGCCTGCCGCTGCTGCAGCCCCAGCGGGCCCAGCCGAGGCCGACGGCGCCGCCGAGCAGACCAAGCGCCAGGCCGCCGAGCTTGGAGCGACGGCCTCAGAGACTGCCCGCCAGCGTGCCTCCGAGCAGAAGGCAGCCAGGGAGGTTGTTGTAGGGGCTCATGGGGCTCCCGCTGATGCCCAGCCCCGTGGGTGGGGCCGCGCGGGCGGCGCAAGAGGGCGCCAGTGGCCCTCCAGGCCCGCCGTTCATGGGCGGGGCGAGGGAGTCGCGGACGCGCGAGCTGCAGCCTCTCCCTTCCGTCGCCCTTCTTTCGCGGCCCCCGACGGGGGGGCGGCCGACGCCCGCGATTGCAGGGGGCGGCGTCGACCCCGAGGGCCCGGCCCAGTCCGAACCAGGGGGCAGCCAGCTAGCGGGGTCAAGCCTCCTGGCGGCTACGGACGGCACTCTGCAATTGGGTCGGCTCATACCTGGCCGCGGACCTCTGCTGCTAGCTCCAGGCAAGCTCGCGGCACCCTCACCGCGTGCACCTACAACGGCAACGCCTGGAACTCGGCCTCCAGCGTCCTCGAGCGGATGCGGCGAAAGGGGATCGAGCCTCACGCTATGTTAAACCAAGAGACGCGCTTTCGCGTCGACCACCGCGGAGGAACAGGCCCACGGCTGGGCCATCAGAGGAGGCCAGCAACTGGAGGGCTCAGGCGCCCTCGAGACGGGCTCCGCGGCCACGGCGGTCTCGTCGGGGGGTGGCATCATCTCCTCGCAGTTGCTGGGCACGGCCCGCCACCTCATGCCGTGGGAGGGCGCCCAGCACAGATTCATCGCCCGCGGGCTCTCGTTGGGCGAGGGCGCCACAATCGCGATGATCTCAATTTATCTGGAGGACTCGATCGGGCTGCAGGGCCCCGACAGGCAGCTGCTGGAGGACGTCCATGCGCGGCGCGCCCACCTCGACGAGCCCTTTCATCATCGGAGGGGGCTGGAACGTTGAGGCCAGCGAGCTCGCCGACCCTGGCTGGCCCGAGCTCATCGGCGGCGCCGTCCTGGCGCCTGGCTCGGCCACCTGCGACGACAACGAGTGCGGCTTTTTCTTCATCTCCACCGCGCTGGAGGACACGGTCGTCTCCATCACGGCCCGCGCCGACACCCCCAGCGGCCAGCACACGGCGGTCGCGCTCGAGCTGCGGGGTTGCTGGAAGCGGCCCATGATCCAGACGCAGCGGGCCCCGAAGGGTTTCGAGCTCGCGGTCGAGGTGGACGAGGGCGCCAGAAACAGGCGCGATCAGCTGGTGGCCACCCTGCCCTGGCTGCCACCTGACCAGGGCCTCGAGGGCAGCGTCGAGGGCTGGTCCAGTCAAGCCGAGGAGGCCCTGCAGGCCATGCACGGGATGCCCGACAGCCAGGCCCGCTACTACAAGGGCAGGGCCAGGGGCCCCTGGACGATCACCGCCCCGCTGGCGGCCACGGCCCAGGAGGGCCGCCCCGACAGGGCCTCGGAGGCCGCCCACCTCTGGCTCTCCCTGCGCAACCTGGCCAAGCGCAGGTGGGACCTCGGGCCTCTCGGGCCAGACGCCCCGCCCGATGGCTACAGGGCCAGCCGTGGCCAGCAGCTCACGAGGCGGCCTGCCGACTTCTCGAGGGCTTCCGGGCACAGAATACCACCGTGTTCGACGGCACTGTCTTCAGCAGTTTCTGGGGCGAGATCGGCCTCCAGTCCGAGAAGGGCTGTGGCCTCCTCGCCATGATAGAGCAGATTGTAGCCAAGCGCGCCAAGGACGGCGCCGAGGCCAGCAAGATAAAGTGGGGCGAGTTCTCGGAGCAGGCATTCGAGCGGCAGGGCCCCCTAGCCCACGAGGTCACCAAGAAGACCCACGGGGGGCCCGCTCCAGCTCTGGAAGCAGGCTCTGCCGACCTGGCGCTGGTAGGCCAGCCTGCGCTCGAGAAGGCGTTGGCCGACTGGCCCCCGCTCTGGTCGGACCCCAGCCGCTTTGCTCAGGGGCGCCCTGGCCTCTGGAGCGTCGGTGAGTGGTCGACGCAGCCCATCGCGGTCGATGACATCAGGCTGGCCGCGCGCGAGTTCCCCAGGACCGCGGGGCTTGGCTGGGGCAGTTTCCACCCGAGGCTGCTGCTGGAGGTCGGCGACGACATCCTGCCCAGACTGGCCAGCCTGCTCAACTCTTGGGAGCGCAATCCGCGCTGCGGCGAGCTTTGGTCCATCATCATGCCTCTGCTGCACCTACCTCGCGCCGCGGAGGGCGCGCGTCGGCACCTGCCTCAGCGAGGCCGTCGTGGCCAACGACACGGTGATCGCTGGCTGCTCTTGCGCCACCGCGCTGGCCAAGCTCCTCCCCCTCTCGGCGCTGCGGGCGGCGGCGGCGGCGGCGGCGGCGCCCGTCGCCGGGCTGCTCGGCGCGGTGGGCGGCGTCTCGGCCCGCGTCGCGGGGCCGCTCGCTATGGCGGCGCAGCAGCTCGGCGCGACCCGCAAGGCTTTCTGCGCGAAGGTGGAGGAGGCCAATCTGCCGCTCAGCAGGCACAAGACGAAGGCGCTAGCCACCAGCAAGGAGCTGCGCCAAGCGTTGATGCGGCAGCCTGGCTGGGACCTGGCCCCCGAGGACTTCGCGGACGTGCGCGGGGATCTGGGCGGCGACGCCGTCTCGGGGCCCTACCGCCGAGTGACCACCTCGACCAGCCGAGAGAGGCTGGCCCGCGCCCAGGGAAGGAAGCTCACCAGGCTCTTCCGTCCAAGCCTTGATCGGGCCCGAGTCTTCCGAGCGGGGCCTGCGGCCAAGGCAACCTGTGGCTCGGCCGTCATGGGAGTCCCCAGCGGCCGCCTGCGCCAGCTCAGGGCCGGCGCGACCAAGGCGCGCGGCCGCCTGCCTCGCGGGGCGGCCCTGGGGCTGGCCAGCCTGGCGCAGACGAGCGGGTGGAAGCGCGACCCGCTGACCATCATCACAAGGACGGCGCTCACGGCCTACGTCGAGATGGTCTGGGCCTCGCTGCTGCCAGAGGCGGCTGCCCGCTCCTGCTTGACCAGGGGATTGGCCATCGCCCAGAAGCCGCATCCCTGGCGGCTGGTCAAGGAGCCCAACAGCGCGCTGGTGCTCACCTTGGCGCGCGTCGGCTGGGGCTTCATCCAGAGCGACCCCTACAAGATCCACGACGCCAATGGCGGCGAGTACGATGTCAGGAGGCACTCGCCCGCCTTTTTCGGCAACAGAATTGCACAGGACTGCCGAGCGGCCATCGGCCTGGAAGAGGTGGCCAGGCAGGGCCCCAGCATGTGGGGTTGGCGGGTCCCGCCGTTCTGGCAGCCGATCATGGACCTGGCTTGCCACCGCTCCGAGGTGTGGGACCAGCGCCACCAGCGGGCGCTGCGCAGCCTCGTCCAGAACACCTACTGGTGCCAGGCCAGGGCTGGAGCGGTGGACCCGTCGGTGCCGACCAGCTGCCTGCTCTGCGGCTACACGGGCGGCTCGCTGTACCACAGGAGCTTCCAGTGCGAGGCGCACGCGGCACGGGGGCGCGACTACCTGCAGGAACCGCTGCGGCAGGCGGCGGAGCAGGTCAAGGGCCAGGGCTACCTGTTCACCGAGCTGTTCGCCAGGGGCCTCTTCCCCGACGCTTCGGTGCGGCAGCCTCGCCCTGGCACGGACTACTTCCAGAGCTCGACCAGCCGGCGCACGTCCGGGCCCCACCTTGACGGGCATCGCGTTTTCGTGGACGGCTCGGGCCTGGACCAGGCGCACCCGCGGCTGCGCGCGGCGGGCTGGTCGGTAGTGGTCCACGATGCGGGCCGCAGGCTGGCGGCCGAAGCCCAGGGCGCCGCCCCGATCCAGGAGGCGCCCGAGCAGCTGGCCAGGGGCCGGGGGGACTGCGCGGTGAAGGTCCTCACGGACCAGGTTGCTGGTGGGCATTTCAGGCTCTGCATCGGCTTGGCCACCGCGCGCAGCGCGGCCTGCCCCCCCGGCAGCGGTCGCCGCCTGCAGCCGGCGAGCCCACCTCTGGGCAGGGAGGGCGGAGCAGCTCCAGGAAGCAACGGTGGTCAAGATCAAGGCTCACCGAGGCCAGAAGGTCGTTCGCGAAGGCCAGATCTCCCAGTTCGAGTGGGATGGCAACGCTCGGGCCGACGCGCGCGCGAAGGAGGGCGCCGCTGCGGCAAGGGCGAAGCTGGAGGACAGCTACGTCGTTCAGGGCTGCCAGTCCTTGGCACGCCTGGCGGCGCAGCATGCCGCGGCGCAGGAGGCGCACATCTCGCGGAGGGGCCTGCTGGATTCCATGGGCGTGACCGCCCTGCGGCTGATCGATCGACCTCGGCGACTGGCCCGAAGGTCTTGAAGAGGATGATGTCGGGGACGGCGCCGTGCCAGAGGCCAGCTCCCACTGCGCTGACGGAAGCCAGCCGCCTGATCTCGGCGGCCCTCTGCGGCCCTGGCGCGTGGGCGGGCATGCCTTGCTCGCCGCGCCGATCTTCGAGGGTGAAAATGAGCGCGCGGCCATGCACTCCTGTGGCCTCTTGCTTTTTCTGCACCACGTGCCGTGGGCAAATAGCAGATAAGCGGGGACGAGGCCTCCAGGGTAATTGCCCAGGAGGCCCGATCCCCAGCGCCAGAAATAATAACACCGCCATAGCCGCCAAAGGAGAGCACCCCAAAGGGAACAGGCTTCTCGGTAGTCTTCGTGCGCCCTCCGAGTCTGAGGATAGTTGTTTGGTCTGGGCATGTTTCCTCAGCGCCTCCTGTGGTGGCCCAAACGGGTGCCCCGACCGAAGGCTCTAAGCGGCCCAGCGTCCTGGAAGTCTTGCCGTTTTTCGGGCTCCAGCTGGCCCAAGCTGAGCGGTTGGGGTCTAGAACCTTAGAGGCTAGAGCCGAGGCCCTTGCGTCAAGGCAGAGGGCCCACGCTGTTCAGGGTCCCGAGGATCCGCCAGACTTTTGGCCCTAGGCCCGGCGCAGCTGTGATACGTGGGGGCGGGGGGCGGCAGTTTGGGGGATCCCGTGGGTCGAATTCGTTCTGCAAGACCTTTCCTGGTCGAGTCTAGCCCCCTCCTCCTCCTCCTCCTCCTCCTCCTGCTCCTCCTCCTCCTCCTCCTCCTCCTCCTCCTCCTCCTCCTCCTCCTCCGCCTCCTTCTCCTCTTTTTCCTCCTTTTCCTATCCTTCCTCCTCCTCCTGCTCCTCCTCCTCCTCCTTCTCCTTCTCCTGCTCCTCCTCCTCCTCCTCATCCTCCTCCTCCTCCCCCTCCTCCTCCTCCTCCTCCTCCTCCTTCCCTCTTGCGCTCCTCCTGGCTTCTCTTTCCGCTCCCCCCCCCCCCCCCCTCCTAGGCGGCGAAGGCGCCTTCGGTGGGGGGGGTTGGCAGCGCTCGTGCAGCGAACTTCGATCCCAAACATGTCTTGGCTTGTGTTTGTTGCATACGGGGTCCCCAGAAGGCCCGACCCTTTCCCCAGGCTAGTTTTTCACCCCGACCCGTCTGTGGAACGTCCCAGGGCCCGGCGAGGGCCCCAGGGAGGCCGAAGGCGGCCCAGAACTTGACGCCGTAACTCTCGTCACGACGCGAACACGTCCGGGATGCCACCAGGTTCCGTGTCCTCCACCCGCCCTCCCAGGCGAAGGCCCGGGGCCGAGGCCGCCTTGGGGGGCTCTGGCAGCGCTCGTGCGACGAACTCCGGCACCACCAGGCTCCGAGGTTCCGGGATGACCCCCCCTCACAGGCCGACGCATTAGAACCTAACCCCAAGGCCCTCACGGCCTGGTATACGGGGGTCAATCCTCATGGAGACGCCAGTCGCACAGGCCCGAGTTCAGAGAGGAGGAACATTTATTATGACGAGGAAGGTGAAGAAACAGCAACCGCGCCCGGAAATGGATGCACACATTCGAGGCCGCATCGGCCGCAATCCCAATGTCCCCAGTAATCCAGCACAGCCCTAACAGGTGGGGAGGACCGGTCTATCCCAATACCCCCAGCAATCCAGCACAGCCCTAAGAGGCGGGGGGGGATGGATTACAACCCACAAAGACGATTTCCGCCAGCCCTCCCCACACAACGACGAAGATCAGGGAATGGCATCGAGCGCTTCGCTCCATTCTGTGGAGGGCACGTTCCGCATATCGTGTCTTGATTAATGGCGCAACAGAGAGGCACAAAAGAGAACGAACGCAGGATGTTAGCCAGCGTGGATCCTAAACAGAGCGTGATAGCGCTGTGGGTGTGAGAGCTATATGGTTAAAGCTGTGTCGTGTGAAAGCTATGTGTTGTGAGCCATTGAGGTGAAAACTGCGCGGTGCAAACTGTGTGATGTAGCCTATATCGTGCAAGCTGGGCGGCGTGAGATGGAGGTGAAAGCTAGGGGGTACGAGCTGTGTGATGTACGCTATGCTGTGCAGATCTTTCGGTGCAACCTATGAACGAAGGATTGCAAAAAAAGCCTTCGGGTTTTTTTGCAATCCTTCGTTTTTTTTGCAATCCTTCGGTTTTTTTGCAATCCTTTGTGCAGCGTTGTGAAAGCGCTGCGGTGTGAACTCAGAGCACGGGGCGCCCCCGAGGCGGCACGGGCGGCAGCGTGGCGCGGCTGGGGAAACTCACCCAGCGCTCGGGGCGCCCACGGGGCGCCCACGGGGCGCCCACGAGGCGGCAACGTGGCGCAACCTCGGCGTACCCCCACAGCGCGGGACGCCCACGAGGCACCGCGAAGACCCGCAATGCCCGTGTAGATCCCTTAGGTTCAGGTAGCGTTCGGGGAAGGAGGGGGACCATAGTATTTTGGACGGTCTCAGAGGCAGAAGGGACTTGATCAACCCAATCTGTCGGAGGTTCGCGAGGATTTGTTGGGATCGTGGCGCGCCAGGGGCGGCGCCAGGGGCGGCGCCAGGGGCGGCGCCAAGGGCGGCGCCAGGTGAGCCCAGCGCAGGTTTCAGAAATTCGCGCGTACCTCCGAAAGCCCATGTCTACGCAGTTGTCCTTCTCTGGGTATCCCAGCACGCGTCTCGGATGCTGCATCACACCCTCCAGCCCCAGACGTCATCCCTAAAGGCCGTGTCATCACGCACCCAACAGGTTGGAGTCGTCAGGTTTTAAGAACAGACCTCCCGACCAGCCCACCCTGCATACAGCGGCCGCCAGATCCCCAGGTCCCCCGAGTGTCCCCGAGTGTCCCGCCTCACGCCAGTCTGCATACCGCGGCCGCCAGATCTCCCCAGTGTCCTCGAGTGCCCCGCCTTGCGCCGCTCTGCATACTGCGGCCGCCAGATCCCCAGGTCCTCCCGATTGTCCCTGAGAGTCCCGCCTCGCGCCGACTCGCCTACTCTGCATGCCGCGGCCGCCAGATCCCCAGGTCCCCCAAGTGTCCCCGAGTGTCCCGCCTTGCGCCACTCTGCATAACGCCTCCGCCAGATCCTCAGGTTCCCCGAATGCCCCCGAGTGTCCCGCCTCGCGCAGACAAATGATAACATGACAGAGCGGTATTATCTAGCAGCAGAACCTAGTGCAGCACAACGCTATAAGCTATGGCCGAACAGAGTATAGCACAATGCCACCTACCAGGACAGACCCGAGCATACCATACCATCTCATGACACAAAGTATCGTAGTACAACATCCCATGCCAGAGCATTGCATGTCATAACGCAGCATGATAGCACAGATCTTTACATACCATGGTTCAGCAAACATACCATACGACAACATCGCGGAACTGGACATACCCACTCATACCATGATGTACCCTCAGGTACCATGACGTAATATATAATGCCATACCATAGCATACCAACGCATGATATGGCATGCCGATGCAACCATGACATATCATAGTATAGCAACGCATAACGTAGCATCGCAAGCCATACCATATCATATTACAGCATACCACGACCGAACGTACCAAACCATGGCGCAGCATCACAGCACCGACAACATGACATACCCACCACAGTGCACACGACACGTCACATCATGACCGAGCGCCACATGCGAAGCTATATCATAACAGCCCGTAACATGGCAGATCACCATAGGCTATAGAAGTATCTACCCTACATAACAGAGCATACATACCATGGCATCCCATTTCGTAGCATAATATGACATGTTATGTCGTACACTAGCACACCATGGCAGACCGGATGTCACTGTAGCGCAGCATCAACGCTGCAGCATGTCATACCATGAGAAGTCATACATGACAGAGCGCTGCATACCACACTATATCATAGCATGTCATAATCTGTTATAGCGCCACAACGTGATAACGCATAACACTTCGTAACATATCAGGAACAGGACATAACAGGACACACCATACCAACTCTTGCACTGACAGCATGGAGCATACAGAGCATACCATCACACCACACATCATAACAACGACTGACATCACACCAGAACATAGCGTAGGAGAACAGAGCATACCAGTCCATACAGTGACATTACATATCATAACCTGACACAGACTTGAATCATTCCATAGCATGACACCGCATTACATCACAATGACATCTATTGTACTACAATATAATCAAACGCGACGTGCGCGCCGAGGTCAGGCTTGCCACAGGAGCAGACAGGCGCAGCAACGAGCGATCCGACGACGTATCTATCGTGACAGGCGTCACGGCGTCACGCCGGCCCGTCAAGAACAGAACAGACAGACTAGAAAGGCATAACGTAAGCTAGCCTGGCAGAACATACGAACATACGTGTCATGCCATAACGTGGTGCCACAGAGCAGAACATATCATATCATATCAAATCGTAGTATGACAGGGGCGAGCATGACAGAATTCACCTGATCAGAAGAGAGACGCAAACTTGAATAGGAACTTCAAAACCTAATAGGCCGTACCATAACATAACCAAGCGCGACTTGCGCTTCGAGGTCAGCCCGGCCACAGGTCCAAACAGGCGCAGCAACGACCGATCGGACGACGCATCTAACGCTACAGGCGACCCGGCGTCACGCCGTCCCGTCGGCAACATAACATACCAGATTGTAGTATCGCAGGCAGAATAGAGAACCTAATCGAGCACAGCATGATTGAACATTGTTAGATGAAGCAACGACCGATTAAGGGCGCACTGTCAAGCGCAGCATCGGCGCCTGGCTACAAAGAAATCAGGCGCGGCAGTGACTGATCACAACATCTGAAACGCGACAGGCGCCACGAAGTCACCCCGCACCGTCGACACCATTGCAGGAACAAGCATGTTTGCGTGAAGCACATTGAAGCAGACAGAGCCGAACACACTTGATAGAGTAGAATTCAGCAGAGACCGAGCACTGGCGGCCTATCATACGCGGCATGCGCGCCAAGCCCACGCTGGCCATAGAAGCAAGCAGTAGCAGCAACGACGATAAGAATGCATACCAAGCGTGAAGGGCGTCACGACGTCACGCCGGCCCGTCCACAACATGACATAACAGAACCTCATGCCATAGATCAGTATACATATATATATATATATATATATATATATCACACAGGGGCATGATCGAATCGAACATAATATAACACAAACTTCAGTATACGCCAGCCACCGCTCCACGGCGTCTCATCAAGCGCGACAGGCGCCCCGTCGCCCGTCGTCAGAGGAGGACAGGGCTTCCGGAGTTGGGGGAGGGAGGAAAGGTCCGCCTCACCTCCCCCTCCTCCCCCTCCTCCTCCTTCGTTGTCCGCCGCCTCCTCGTGCTGCTGGCCTCCTCGTGCTGCTTGTGCTGCCCCCTCTCTTCCTCTTATCAACAGGTTGCAGATTCTCTCCGAAGACGTTTCGGGGTCTCGAAAGACGCGTCCTTTGGGGTTGGCCTGTCGCTCCAGGGACTTGTTCCGGGTTCCGTCGTCGGAGGCCCTGGGGCTGCTATAGACCTTCGGGAGACATCAGCTTGCGAGCCGGCCCGGCCGCCGCGCTGGCCGAGAGGCGTGCGCACCGCTGGGAACAGACGCCCCTCCTCCTCCTCCTCCTCCTCCTCCTCCTCCTCCTCCTCCTCCTCCTCCTCCTCCTTCGGTGGGAATCGCTCGACGCAGAATCCGCAGACGCCCTGGTGGGGCCACCAGGCTGTGGGCCGAAGTGTGCTGCTCCCTGCACCAGTTGCGGCTTCAAGTCTCCAGTGTTGCAGTCCTGCTTTCTGCTTCCCATCGTGAGCTGACGAAGTCCGCGCGACGGGGGTGGGGCGCCAAGCCAGCTTGTCACCACGGCGGGATCGCGTTGCTTGAATTCCTGGGGGGGTCGTGGGACACGTGGTCGGGGGGCCGTTTATTCTCAGGAGTAGAAAAAACACACAAACACAATTAATTGTCGATTCCTCAGAAAATATGGTAAAATTTGGGATGTGGGGGGGAAGACAGGAACCCAGAAAATACAGGAAAATATGGGGAATCGTTATTAGTGTGTATTTATTTGCGTGTCCTGGGGCCCCTTAACAATCGCTTGTGCATTGCACCATGTTCGCGTCTCCGAGGCCGCAGGCCCTCGTAAATTGCACAAGTGTTGCGTCCCCGAGGCAACGAACTTCTGCAATTACGCAATCGTCGCGTGCCCGAAGTCATAAGCTTTTTGCAACTTACGCCACATTCGCATCGCCGAGGCCAAGAGTGCTCCAAGACGCCCGAAGATGGTTCCAAGACGGCCCAAGAGGGCCCACAGAGGCCCCAAGAGCGCTCCAAGAGGCCTCCCAAGAGAGCCCAAAGAGGCCAACATCATAGATTTTACTAAGGATATTGAAGGATGGTGGCCTTCTCGCATTTTCTGCTTTCCGACACTCCAAGACGGCCCAAAAAGTTCCCAAGACCGCCCCAAGACAGCCCAAGACGCCTCCAAGAGGGCCCCAAGACGGCCCAAAGGGGCTGCAAGATGGCCCAAGAAGCGCTCAAGACGGCCCAAGAGGGCCCCAAGACGGCCCCAAGAGGGGACCACGAACCGAACATTCGATATTTGTTCCCCGAGAAGCCCCCCAGAGGCCCGAAGAGGCGCCCAAGACGCGCCAAGAGGCCTCCAAGAGGCCCAACAGATACCCCACGAGGCCCCAAGGCCCCCAAGAGGCGCCCAAACCGCCTCGAAGAGGCCCCTAGAGGCTCCCCACGACACCCCAACACATATATGATACCAGAGAAAAAACCCAATCATAATCTTAAGGGCTATAGGGCTACAGGGCTATATGGGCTCTTGGGCGCTATGTGGGCTATATGGGTTGTAGGGTTATAGTGCTATAGGGCTATATACTAGAGCGATAGGGATATAGGGCTATACGGCTATAGGGCTACAGGGCACCGGGCACCCGGGCACCTGGCACCCGGCACCCGGGCACCCACCCGGGCACCCGTCACCCGGGCACCCGTGCACCCGGGCACCCGGGCCCGGCCACCGAATCGGCGGCGAACTTGGGCACCCAGGCACCCGGGCACCCGGGCCCAGCCACCGAATCGGCGGCAAACCCGGGCACCCGGGCACCCGGGCACCCAGGCCCGGCCACCGAATCGGCGGCATACCTCACCTACCCTTAAATCCGCTAGGAGACGCGACTCTGATACACCCCATTCTGATAGAGAGGGGACCGGCGGCAGGGGGCGAAGCCCTTACGGATAGTTCGTCCCGAGCTGTTTTGTTGACGGTCCGGATGCCCGGCGAGGGTCCCCAGAGGCCTACAATTGTCAAAAATTTCCCGACGCGATGATTTGTCACCATGCGAACATGTCTTGGAAGGGGACACCACAATATCCTTGGATTTGTTCCAGAGTGCGTCCTGGCCAGACTTCCAGGGCGGAGACAAAGAGCCCGGCCACCAACAAATGGGAAAAGCTTGAATTCGATCCGCGACCCTCGAACCTCGCGCACGTCTTGGAAAGGCTCCTCCTCCGCCTCCTCCTCCTCCACCTCCTCCTCCTCCTCCTCCTCCTCCTCCTCCTCCTCCTCCTCCTCTCCTCCTCCTCCTCCTCCTCCTCCTCCTCCTCCACCTCCACCTCCACCTCCTCCTCCTCCTCCCTCCTCCTCCTCCTCCTCCTCCTCCTCCTCCTCCTCCACCTCCTCCTCCTCTTCCACCTCCTCTCTCCTCCCTCCTCCTCCTCCTCCTCCACCTCTTCCACCTCCTCCTCCTCCCTCCTCCTCCTCCTCCTCCTCCTCCTCCTCCTCCTCCTCCGCTTCCTCCTCAGCGAGGGGGGCGGGGGGGGAGCCTCCCGCCGCCCCCTCGCCCCGCGGGCCCCCGCCCGGGGCTGGGGCGCGCCCCCTCCCCACGAGGCAGTCGGCGGAGAGGGCCGCCCTCACCCTGCACGGCGTCGACAGCCGGACCGAGGCGGGGCCCGCGCTGGTCGTCGTCGTCCTCGTCCTCGTCGTCGTCGTCGTCGTCTTCGTCGTCGTCCTCGTCTTCGTCGTCGTCTTCGTCCTCGTCGTCGTCCTCGTCGTCGTCCTCGTCGTCGTCCTCGTCGTCCTCGCCCTCGTAGTCGTCCTCGTCCTCGTCCTCGTCGACGTCGACGTCGACGACGCGTCGGTCGGGCATTCACAGGACGCCCCCCCAGACAAGCCGACTGAGGAAGTCTGCACGGGCATGCTTACTCGATATTGACTTTCGAGTGTGCTGGTGCAGTCCCCAGTCGGTTTCGCCAACCTGCGTGCGTTGCGTCGGGTACAGGTGGTTGCTTTTGGACGTCGAGCAGCTACCCCGCCAGGGCGTACTCGGAATGCAATGCCGTGTTTACGTGGATTATCCCTAGCAGTTTTCGCTGAAAACCGTCTTACCACAAGGAGGTCCTGTTCCCCCTCCGACTGGGGGGGTGCATCTCAGTACTCCGGGGCAGCGTTGGGGAGAGGATGGGCTCGGGGGAGTTTTCGACATGTTAAGCAAGTTGTCCGGAGCTGTTCGGCAACTTTCGAAGCACCAGGTGTCAGGAGATCGCAAACATGGATCAAGGGGGCGTGGATTAGCGAAGGGTCCCGTTTCCATGGGAAATCGCTGATTTCCGCCGCCGAACGAGACGGCACCAGCCGCATTTCGGGGAGGGTACCTCCCCCGATCCACGGATTTGGCGACCGTGCGCCAAATCCATGGATCGCTAATCCTTGTTTGCGCGCCCCCGAAGGTGGTTCCCATCAGCTGTATCTTGTCGAGGGTGATCCAGAAGTGCCGACATCGTCCCGAACGATTGTCAGAGAGCCGAGTAATTACCCGAAAATGATTGGGCAACCGCTAGGGAGGGAAAGCTCAGGGGGGAACCATCGACCCCCAATAGGCCATTCGTCGCCGGTAGGGGCAAGACGGCCCTCCCCGCCCAGGAGCGTGCGGTGTTACGATCGAGGGCCCATCTCCGATCTGTCGATGATGCGTCTCCGATTCCGAGTCGATGTTCCCCTCTAGATCGACCAGAAAACACGTGACACCACCCCACCTACGGAGCTCCATGGTGCGCTACGGCCCAATCGGTGGCCGTAGCGCATGCCACGCAGAAGCACACCAGGTGGCGTGGTATACGCCAGGGGCCGCAGGTGGGGTGGTGTCGTCTGTTTTCTGGTCCACCTGAGCTGGTCCCCCGCTGTCGCTTCCCGTTTTCCAGGCGCAGGTGTTCGAGTGGCGTACACCGCCTGTACTTCGCACCCTCCGGCCGCCTGAGGCCCCGCCCGCCCGCGCCCTGTCTCCCCAATTAGTGCTTCGCGCGCCCCGCCTAGCTCTTATCCGGAAGAGGCCCGCTCTCGACCCGCCGACCAAAAAAGTGTTCGAGTGGCGTAGGGCAGGCTCAGACCTGCTCGTGGTGTGAAGAAGTCACGGCGAGATGTTTTTGGGGGACACGGTTTTTGGCCGCAGCGGGCCTTCCTTCGACCCCGTGCCGTTTGCGAAGAACCGGTCTTGGGAAAAGGGTCGGGACTGCCCGAGGCCTCGTATTGAAAAGTGGGTGGCGCTGGATGCCCGGGGGGAAGGTCCTCTATTTTCTGTTTGCCGCGGCCGCGCGGCATCGCCAGCAGCAAAGCTGGGCTGCCGCATGCCCTCCAGCCTCGAAGCTTTTCCCCCTTTTCTCCCCGTTCCGCCCTTGAGTTGGGGCCCCGCGAGGGCCGAGGCTTCTGCGCTACGCAGTCCCAGCCCCTCCCCCTCCCCCTGCTGCTGCCTGCTGGCTCTCCTCCACCCTCGCATCATCATGGTACCCATGCTGACCCGTAAGAGAACGAGCATGTGGATCTACGCTGTGGCGGCGTGAGCCTTTTCAGCGCAGCTCGAGGCGGCTCTGTTCGAGCGCTGCCTGCTGCTGCAGACGGCGCAGAAAAAAGAACAGCGCAGATGGATGGCGTGCGCCTCCGCGCGTGGCTGAGCCCACGGGAACGGTAGTCACAACGCCTTGCGTCCACCAACGCCTGCGCCACTGGGCGGGCCCCCGCCCACGGCCAGAGGCCGCGTCTTGTTCGGAGGGCTCCCGCTCATCGGGGGGGGGGGGCAGCGGTCGCCCCTGCCAGCCCCTGCGTGGAGCACGGGGCGCGCTGCGCCGCCCGGGCCGAGATCCGGGAGGCGCGGGGCGGGGAGGCCGCGGGCTGCGCACGGGCAGCCCCCCCCCCCCCCCCCCGCCGCTTCTGAAGCGGCGCCCCACGAGCAGTCGTCTATCAATGGTTTCCCGCAATTCCAAACTATGGGAAACCCATAGGTCGCCAATTCCTTAGGGGTTTCTGGCGACATATGGGCTTCCCATAATTCGCAGGCCGAAGGGCGGCCCACGGGAGCCGTAAGGCCGCCAAAGACAGTCCCAAGCTGGCCCATTGTGGCCCCACGACCGCCCAAGAGCGATCGGGGGTGGACAGAACCCTCAACAGCGACGCGTCGACTAGTGAATCTTCCGTTGTCGGTTCTCGAGAGGGCACCGTGGTCGCTAGTTTCCAGGTCGTCCTCACGAAACCACGCTTTACGAAAGGGGGGTCTGTCCATCCCCGACCGGGGCGTTCCGCGCTCCGGGGGTTGGCGCGTTGAGGCCAGCCAGCAGACCCGTCGGAGGCCTGGCGAGGCCAGCCGCGACTGCCTGGCGGGGGGGGGGGGCGTCTGTGCGCAGCCCGGAGCCTTCCCAAAGGATGGTGAGAAGGAGGTGCAGCATGCTACGGGTTGGGTGGACCTGCAGGGATCGGGAGGTCCGTGGTGGGGCCCAGCTCCCCGGAGCGATGGTTTATGGTCGGAGCGATGTGGGGGCACAGTGTGGTCGACGTGGAACGGGGCGCGGACTGGCCGACGGTGCACCTGCGCCGCGGGGAGAGAAGGAGGGCGGCCACAGAAGGAGGCAACGGCGGGCAGCCACGCTCTCGGTTCCCCAGAACACGAGATCGTCGACGGTGTCCCTTCGAGCTGCCCACTGCCCGCAGCATCTGTCGCTGACTGCGTGCTTGGAAGTCGTGCCTTTCTTGGGCTTCCCAGAGATTCTCCAGATTTGGTGTGGGTTTCTACAATTTCTGGCTAGTTGTGCAGCGCCGTCGAGGCCCTTCTGAAGTCCTGATGGTGTTCGGGTGCTCCCGTGGGGCCTCCCGTGACAGCGCTGCAATGCGGCATGTGGAGGATCGTCACGAATGGCGTAATTGTATTATACGAAATGACATGGTTTCCGCTACAGGCGCAGCGACATAAGTCTTCGGTGACTGACTGCGCTTGGGGGCGCATAGCTGGTCACTCTCTGGCTGTCTCAATTTTTGAGCAGCTCCAGCCGAGAGCCATCGACTCGGGGGAGGAGCTCACCTGCAGCAATGTGTTCTCGCGGCGCTCCGCGCCGAAGGGCCACTCGACTGGTGACTCGCGGAGGTCGCTTGATCACCGCTGTTGTTCGCGCGAGGCGCCATGCCGGGTGCCCATGAACAATTGGTGGTGTTCGGTGTGCGGCGGCAAACGATGTCTTGGCGTTCAGGTTGGAATGCAGTGGGGACCCATGCCAAGAAACACCCTGCTTGTATCCAGGGTGCCCTGTGGAAGGCGTGACGTTCCGACACCAAAAATCAATGGACGTCCTGGGGTCTCAGGGTTGGGTTTCTTGTCGAAGGTTTCTTGTGGTCGGGCCCCCACTGTATGCCTCAGTTTGTGGATCGGCGGCGCGCTGAGGAAGTCCGTAAGAGGGGATAGTGCATCTCAGGAGGCGGCGGGGCTTCGTAGAAGCTTTCCTGCCTTCAGAGAAGCCGTCTGTGTCTTCGGCGCAGGCTCGATGATCTTCAGGATGTGTGTTAGTCCAATGTATGTTTACCCCGTTCAGCCCAACCAGTCGATCATCATATCCCCTCCGTCGTAATGAAGGGCCTCAGTGGGCAAACACACGTTGGCGCGAACACACGCTCTGAGGATCATCGACAGAAGCTTTCCGGCCTTCAGAGAAGCCGTCTGTGTCTTCGGAGGAGGCTCGGAGAGTTTTCCAGAAGGCTGATGGCCTTCTGAGCTTTCTGCGGAAGCCCGGCCCCTCTGCCTGTTCCCCTCGGGCGCGCCGCGGAGTAACAGGGGGCAAGACATGCATGGAGACCTGGCAGGGAGAGGGAGGCTTATGTGCTGAATGGCACTGATTGGTGTCATGGTCACATATACATATATTATTCGTCTGCATGCTCGTGCGTGTCGCTTGCAGACTGAAGACGTGTCTGTAGACATTCACCGTTTGCTTTGTCCGAGTCCCATGTCCTCCTCGGCAGCGAGGGCCCATCCTTGTGCTGCACATGCATTTGCAGATTGGCCGGCTCAGGCCGAAAAGCGCGCGGTCAACAAGCGACCACCTACGGATCGGGAGAAGTTTGATGTTAAGATGGTCTTGGGCCGCTATGTGCTGCTCGGGATATGGTTGCCGATCTCCACAGTTGGCAGTGCCAGGTGGACGGTGATACAGTATACTTTGTGCAGCGCCCGTTGTCTGAATAGAAGTCTGTTTCGATTTGCAAGTTTCAGCAAGGGATCAACGAGCATTCACGAGCAAGGTGGCACGTGCATCTTTCGGTCGGCGTCGAAACCGAAGCACAGGACGGTAGTTGAGGGGCAAGTGCTACGAAAGAGCGCGCTCGTGGAGACGGAACAATCAAACGGGGGACGCCAGCTTTAAGGTTCACCCCTTCAAAAAGGGTTGAGAGCTTCCGAAGCACACCCCCCCTCCCCTCTTCAGTTGGTGGCCTCCTGGCTAAGTGGTGGTGGCTTGCAAGCCGACCCCCTCCCCCTCCCTTTTTTGCAGCCGGGGGTAACGCCTGGGCTCCCCTTTGCAGGAGGGGGGGCTTTGGAAGTACCCCTTTCCCCCATTCCAAAGGATGGGGGGCATTCCGAAGCTACCCCGTTGAGGTAGGCCCGCTTTTTGGGCGATCCTGAGCCTGTCCTGGAGGTCCTGACGGCCGCGCCCAGGAGAACAGACATCTCTGACGCGATTTTCCGGGGCGTTCCCCGAGCACTCTTCGTCCGACGACCCCCTGGGGGCCGCCCCGCGTGCGCGAGCTGCTAATATACAGCCTTTCTTCGGGGGCGGAAAAGAGGGGGGTGATGACTAGGGGGTGTGGATATCATGGCGGGGGGCATGATATTTCCCCAGATTTCATGGCGCCTCTTCTCATTTCATTACGTTCCTGGCCCCCCCGCTGGGCCGCGCACATGCCGCCGGTCATGATTTGCACCCCCCCCTCTTGGACACCCCCTCTTGGCCGCTCCCGATCTCTGAACCTCGCACCAGAGATCCACCGCGCCTTTGGCTCGGTGGGCTCGTTTTCACTAAATCACGTTTCACTAAAAGGGGTTCTGTCCATCCCCGAATACACAACCTCTCTGAACCTCGCACCAGAGATCCTAGTGCACCTCTGGCCTGGTGGGCCGGCGAGTCTCACCCCAGTGTAAATAACGGGGATCAGCCAGAGCGCCCGATTTTGCGGGATCCTGCAGGGCCAGGGTCGCATTGACCCGGGTTCGGGTGTAGGATCCTGCAGGATCTTGCAGGATCCCTTGCATTGACTCGGGTTTGGGTGCAGGATCTTGCAGGATGTTGCAGGATTCTGCAAGGCCTGACTGACCGGGGTCTGGATTGACCCGGGTCAGAAGATCCCCGAACCTGCGCGAATACAGATGGCTCCCGTCCGTGCCCAAGTGCCGGCTCTGGGGGACTCCTGGCGCACCTGGCGTGCTGCCAGCACTCCGCCCACAATGGACAGCCGCATGGGGCGAGGGAGTTTCTGTCCGCCCTGCGGATCCGGAAGGAGGAAGGGAGGGAGGGTGAGTATCGTTCCACAGCTCCCTATCCCCATTCCCATGCACATCTCGATCCCAACCATCCCACCACCCCAGTTGGGGATATGCCCCTCGAAGCCCGAAGGGAACCAGCTTGAATAAGGAACACTTACTTTTCAAAAGGGGCTCGGTCGTTCCTTTGGTTTGCATGCGTTCCGCCACCTTTTTGGCGGCGCGTCCCCCTGGTGTTCCTTGGGACTTCGTAGACTTACTTGGAAAAAAGGGGCTTCGTTCCTTATTTATCGTTCCTTAGGTCAAGCCGAATACTCTATCCCCATCGGGGTGTGGGGGGGGGTAAATCAGCCCGCGGGGCCCAGGCCACGCCAGTGGATATAGGGGATCGGTGAAGCGATGCTCAGAGAGGGGGGGCCTTCGGGCCGCTGGACGTCCAGAGATGGCGGGCGGCCTCCAGGCAGAGGGGAGGGGCATTCAGAGGGGGGCACCCGCCTCCTCCTCCTACTCCTCCTCCTCCGCCTCCTCCTCCTCCTCCTCCTCCTCCTCCTCCTCCTCCTCCTCCTCCGTGGGAGAGGGATGGGGGGGGGCGGGGGCGGGGTGAGCATATTCTTCCCTTGCCATTCTGCTGCGCTCTTCGCCCCCTGGAGGGCCGAGGCCCATTCCACCCAGGCAGAGCTCGAGGAGAGATCTGAGACTGCGGCGGCACTGAGGCGCCGATCGGCCTTCTGTGGGCTACTCAGGAGGGGGAAAAACACACAGACACAAGTAATCGCCGACTCCCAGGAAGATATAGGAAAATACGGGAATTGGGCAGGAAGACAAGAACCTAGAAAATATGGACAAAGTGGGGAATCGTTTTATTTGTGTGTATCTTTGTGTGTGTCCTTGGGCCCCTTGAGCTACGTTGAGGCTCTGGAGCCGACTCAAAAGACTGGTAAAGGATACGAGCCATCACGGATGGGGGGGGGCCTCGGATCAATGACACCCAAAGGGGCGCGGGCAATTACATCCTCGAGCTACTCATCCTCGCTTTGGCCTGGGATCCCTTGGGTGCACCTTTTCATAGGCAGCCCTTTCCATACATCCATACAGACATGTGCCCTGACAGGAAGAAGGATCGACTATGGCCACGGTCTCAACACTCACAGCGGCAATGTTTGATTGATGATGGGCCGATCATGAGTCGTTCTCACGCTGACGCCTGGCCAGGTCCAAAGAAGAAGAAAGCTACGCCCCGGCGAGAAGACTTGCAGGAGGGTAGGCGACGGGGTCCTTCTGTGGCCGAGTGCATCCGCGCAGTATGCTCAGAGAAGGTACCGAGAGGGCTGCCAGGCTCAGGAGGCGCTCGATTTGTGCAGACACATCGTCTGCCTCACGGGGGCAGCCTGAAAGCGCACACACTGTGCACTTCTAATTCTTCGAAAGTTCTTTGATTTTTTGGGGCCAAGATCCTTTCATTTCTAATTGTTCTATCCTGGGCCTCTTCCTGGCCACTAGGGGGCCAGGAACAATTAGAAACGAGCGCAATTTGAAGTATGCACGATTCGAAATGAACGACGTGTAGGTCGAGAGCGTAGAGGGGCATTCGAGCCATACGTCTTGTCCCTTCGACGACAGTGTGCAGGTCTTCCCCTGCATGTGGACGCAGAAACTGGCCCACCGCAAGTGCGGGAAGTTCCTTCACTTGCCGGGTAGGAGGCAGTCCCCTTCCATCTTTGCCATGCTGAGCAAGACCGAGCCAGACCCACGAGCAGCGGGATATATTCACAGTGTTCCGTCTGGCGTGCATGTGTTTTTTTTCATACCTGGTCAAGCATTTGCGGCGACTTCGCCAGCCGCGCCTCAATTCTGGCGCACGTGGAATGAAGTAGTGGCATGATCTTGTTGAGTCTACATGGGTTGTCTACCAGAAGGGCATGATTATGACTGCCCGGGCAGGCGAATATCAGGTATCGTTGATGCAGGATTTCTCGAACACCGTCTCGCGATAGCATTCTAGCACGCGTTGGGTATTGCTTTGACAGAGCACTTCCTTGTGGCGCTACTTGCTCCAACCGCACGGGGTCCAGCGCCGAGGATGATGCTCCCCGCAGTTCCATCTCTAATGCTCCTGCTCCCTCTCCGCTGTTTCCTTCCCCTTCCCCCTGATATGCAGGCTCTTTGCTTGAGCAATTGTTCCTCACATGACACGTGGGGTTATTGCTTTCTCTGGACACCCCGCGCAGGAGCAGGGACAGGAGCCCACACATCATCATCATCATCATCATCATCATCATCAGCATCATCATCATCATCATCATCATCATCATCATCATCATCATCATCATCATCATCATCATCATCGTCATCGTCATCATCATCATCATCATCATCGTCATCGTCATCATCATCGTAATCATCATCATCATCATCATCACCATCATCATCATCACCATCATCATCATCACCAGCAGCAGCATCATCATCACCACCATCATCACCAGTATCGCCATTATCAGTATCAGCATCAGCCTCAACATCAGCATCACTGTCATCGTCACCACCATCACCATCACCATCATCACCACCACCACCACCACTACGATCATCTTCATCATCATCATCACCATCATCATCACAACCCCCCTTCGCCACGCACAAACTCATTAAATTACTCTCACTCATCATCATCCTTATCAGCATCTTTATCGGCACTCATTCCCTCACTCACTCACCCACTCATCATCATCACCATCATCACCGACATCACTCCCACACTCATTCGCACTCACACACACAAACACACTCATACACTCACACAGTCATCCACTCAGACATTCATCGGGTGGATGTCTCAGGCGGGAGCCTCGTCTGTGAGTAAAACATGAGGAAGTCTCAGGCGGAGACCCCTTCCCTATGGGGCCTGCACTTCATTTCAGTAATCGGAGCGGGCCGTTCAAACCTTGTAACTGTCGTCATCTTTGGGCCCCTCACGCCTGAATTTTAGAGATTCCTCAGGCGGGAGCCTCTTTTTGTGAGTGAATCGCGAGGAAGTCTGAGGCGGGATCCCCCTCCTTATGTAGCCCGTATGTCATGTTGCCAACTGCAGCGGGTCACCCAAATCCTGTACGTAATTGTCGTTCTTTTGGACCCTCACGCTTGAATTTGGAAGACACTTCAGGCGGGAACCTCATGTGAGTGAATTGCGAGGAAGTCTCTCGCGGGAGACCCCTTCCTATGGAGCCTGCATTTCATGTTGGCAATCCGAGCGGGTCATTCAAACTCTGTAGCTGTCATCATTATTGGGCCCTTCACGCCTGAATCTTGGCGAAACCGCAGGGGGGAACCTCATTCTTGAGTGAATCGCGAGGAAGTCTCAGGAATGGATGGGACCCGCGCCGCAGATTGGCACTCCGAGCGGGTCATGCGAAACCTGGACCCGTGGCCAATTTTGAGTTCCCGTGTCAGGCTTGCATATTGAGGAGTCTTGGGCGGGAGCCTCCTCCGTGACTGAGTCGCGAGGAAATCTCGACCGGGAGCCCCCTCGCTATAGAGCCCAAATCTCCATGTCAGAATCGGAGCGAGATCTCGGGATCTCGTAGCTGTCGTCACTGTTGGGCTCAGGAACGGAGGGGTGATGCGCGGCCTCGCGAGCCCATCCAGACGGGGTCGCCTTTGTGTTCTTCAGAGGGCCGCTCGCCCGGCTGAGCCCAGTCTCCCGACGCGGCGATGGCGTCACCATCGGCTGCGCCACGGACGAGGACGCTGGCCGCACGTGCGTGCCGCACGAGCAGCGGTGGCTGCACCTCTACGTCATGTTCTCCCACGCCACGCGCATGCGGAACATGCTGATGCTGCGGCCGCCCACGCAAGTTCCTGGAATGCGGGCCGCCAGAGTCCCCGCGGAAGGCGCCCGGGAAGTCCGACGAGATAGCGGACACTCCCAGAAGCGAGGCGGAGCAGCTCGCTACACGGCTGGGACTCGCGCCGCCCCGCGCTTGAGCGCGGCCGCGCCCACTTCGAGACCCGCGGGGTTGCCCCGGCGGCCTGGCCAACGGGGTTGTCCCGACGGCCCGCCCCCGCGCCCCAGCGGTTTGCAGGGTTGCCCCAAAGGCATGGCCCGCAGGATTGCCCCAAAGGCTTCGCGATTCTGCTGTCGGCGAACGCGCGCGCGCTGGCCGAGGCGGCGACGGCGCCGAGGGAAATCGATTTGTCTGCCCCGACCAAAGGGGGAGGGCAGGTGCGCGTGGAAAGGAATCCGGAGGAAAATGCGGAGGGGAGAAGGGGCACGGGGAGGGCGATGATGAGGAGGAGGTGGAAAAGGAGGAGGATCAATTGAAAGAGGGGGAGAGGGCAGAGCGAAGGGCGAGAGGAGGGCGTCCGCCAGGGCGAGGAGAAAAGGGCTATGGTCAAGCTGAGCATATTCTCGTGGGGGGCCTTACCGTCGGAGTAACGTGAGAAGGATGTGGGCCTCCTTGGGTGCGCTCTCTTGACGCCCCTTGCCCGTCCTGGCCCGCTATGGCGGCCATGATGGGCCATCGTGCGACCATCGACGGTGCAGACGGGTCCATACTAGGTTGCCTTGGGCCGTCATGATCGGACGTCGGGCTGTCTTGGGGCTATATTGAATAGTTTCGGGAACCATCGCGGCCATCCCGGAGCCATTTTGGGAGACAGTCAGCCCGCATGGTATGGATGAACGACATTCCATGGTTACCCTTGCATCGTTGCCCGCAGGCCCAGCGTTAACGACTTTCGCTGGCCAGCCCCGTTCGGATGAAAACACATGGCTCCCGAAAGTCCTTGCATACATAGTTCGTTTGTTTCTTACATGGACAGATTCGTCATCGCCGTCATCAGCATCATCCGTTTAATCATATGCATCATCATCCGCATCACCATCGTCACCATCTTTTTTTTAAACCAAAACAGCGTCACCATCATTACCCACATATCGTAACCATCATCAGCATCAGCACCAACATCGCCACCGTCACCATCATCACCATCACCACCACCATCATAATCATCATCAACACAATTCGTATCCCCACCACCTACATCATCATTGGCATCACCGCGGGTTGTTTTGTTGACAAAGGCACCGTCATGTTCGATGAAGGTGATGCGGATGATGATGGTGATGATGATGACGTTGACGATGACGATGTCGACATCAACATCGACATCGGCATCGCCACCGTCGTCGCGTCTCGAGAAAAAAACAAAGTTCCTCGCCCCGAAGCGCGCCGTGCGGCCGCTACCGGGGGGGGGGGGCGGCCCCGCCGTGTGCGGGGTGGGAGGCTCGCGCTGTCCCCGCTGCCCAGCTCGTGGATCGATCAGGACATACAGGAGCCGCCCACGCGCGGCATCGGAGAGGGAGCGGGGGAGAAGCGGGGATAGGGAGAGAAAGAGAGAGAGGGTGTGTGATAGTGAGAGAGAAGGAGACACATAAAGACAATACAGCCAACCATATATACATCTATATATATACACAGAGAGAAGGAGAGAAAACGAGGAAGAAAGAGGGAGCGAAAGAGAGAAACGAAGAACACAAAAACGATAAACAGAGAGAGAGAGAGAGAGATGAAGTGAAAAAGGGGAAGAGGGAGGGAGTGATGGGATGAGGGGGAGAGGGAGTGGCGGGAGAGGGATAGAGAGATAGACAGCGAGCGATAAATAAAGAGAGGGAGTGAATGGGGATAGAGGGAGAGATGGAGCGAGGGGGAGGGGAAGGGGGGGAGGGAGAAAGTTAGGTAGAGGAAGAAAGAGAGAGAGAGAGAGAGAAAGAGGGGAAAATGGTGATGAGGAGGAGGAGGCGGGGGAGGACGGGGGGGAGGAATAGGACGGGGGAGGAGTGTGAAAGGAAGACTGGTAGGAGGAGCAGGAGCAGGAGGATCAGGATGAGGTGCAACAGGAGGACCCGCGTCTGGCGAAGCCTGTCTACAAGGAAGCATGTTGCGAGGCGACCAGCAGACTGAGCCTGGAGGAGAAACGGGATTGAGAAGGTGACTCTTCGGGTCCTCGAGGCCTAATAGCTTGCCTGAGGCAGAAAGAATGGAGGAGGGGTGCGGGAAGTGGAAGGCTGAGGGTTATAGGGTCGCCAGGAGTTGAAGGGTCATGAACCAAAGGGCGAGGACTGAGACGGCGGAGAGAAACAGCCCCGGAGCGATGGAAATACAGCGTCTCGCGCCCGACCATGGGGGCTCCCCGCGCTCCGCAGCGTTCGCAGCGCATCTGGAACGCAAGGCAGCCAGCCTTTCTGAGGGTGAGCTCCGCTCCCAACACACCCTACGGTCGGGTGCCTCGTCTTAGCGTGTCGCGCCGCCTGTTCTGGCCCACTGCGCTTCGGTGCGACACGCTATCCACGTCCCCGACCCCGAGCGTCAATGTCCAAAGTATTTCGAATCAGTGCTTGCGCTGAAGGGGTCATAGCGTATATTGAAAGATTAGGCGAAAGTTTCCCGCCGAATTTCATGGCCGGCTGGGTTCCCGGGTTCCCGGTTCCGGGTTTCCAGGTTCCTAGTTATTGGTTCCGGGCCGATGTCGGTGGGTTCTGGGTTCCCGGGTTCTTGGTCGATCTCCTTATCGATCTCTTTATCGATCCCACGATTCATTACCGATCTCATGATCAGTCTAACTATTCATCTCACTCAATCGATCTCACCATCGATCTCATCAAACTATCCACTGTTTGGGCCTTTTCTCTGGTGTAATTCGAAGCCCTACCGTCCCGCGGAGCGGAACGACACGCTTGCCAGCTTGCAGGGCACAGCGTGTCGCCGGGGCCAAAGCCGCGACGCGCTGAGCAATAGTTCCGCCCGCAGTCTTGCTAGAACGTTTGGTCGTCCAGCCGGAAGCGCGCAGGAGATGTGCAACGAGTACGGCGGCGTGCACAGCGTCGAGTCCGACGGCCCGTGCCGCTTCGCCGTGGCCTCGGGGATCGCTGGCTGTTCGGCACGGCACCTCTGGCCACCCCGCCCATGGTGGAGCCTCTTCCTTTTGTCGCTGTTCTCTCCTCTCGGAGGTCCAGGAGCTTCCTAAACATCAGGAGAGGACAAAACACACAGACACAATTCATCCTCGACTCCCCAGAAAATATGGGAAAATATGGGAAGTGGGGGGGAAGACAGAAACCCAGAAAATATGGGAAAATATGGGGAATGTTTTTATTTGTGTGTATTTTTTTGTGTGTCCTGGGGCCCCTTCAAAACATGAACATTCGGAGGTCTTGGACTGGCGCTGGGGCCCCTTTTGCCGGCGCCGCCCCCGTCGCGCTCTGCGCGCCAGGGAGGGGGGCCCAGCGCCGGGCCAAGAAGCCTGTGCGGACCACCGACGGTTTGGGCGTATACCATGTGCTGTTCCTCCACCATGGCCGTCCTCCTAGGTGGGCTCGCACACGTCGGTGGTCGAGGCTCTTGCAAAGTTGGCGCTCGCCAGTGTCCGCAAGTTCGCAGGCGTCCTGGCCATCGGGTTTTGAAGGGGTTTGTCCGCTGCGAGATCTGCTGGTCTCTGAGACCTGCATGCGGGGGTAAGTCGAAGTTGGAACCTTCTGTCTAATTGTTCTGCCGGCATGCGCACATGACCGACCAGGTGCGAAATGTTTGTCAGGTGCGCCAATAGCTCCAAGCTCGACCACTGTGCAGTGCCCGCGATGTGTGCCATGCGCGCCGTGTACGCCAGCTGCGCGTTGCGTCAAGTTGGACCTGCCAGGCTTCACAATCTTGGAGCACCTGGCAAATTTGTCTCACCTGGTCGATATCGTGCGCGTGCGCATATCGAAAATGCAACTCTGTAGCAGGCACACGATGAACGCAACGTGATCGCATGTAACCAAACGCAGCGAACATCATTCGGCACAGAAATATCACATCTGCATTTCCAAGACGTGTTGAATGCACGCTGGTGGCCACTATGGCTTCTATATTCTCTCAATGAAAGTCCACCGCGCTTGTGCTGCAGAGTCCACGCTGCCTGCTTCGGTGGCACTCCCAGGGGGGGAGGCAGAGGGAGCCGGCCTTGTCAGAAGGCCCAGACAGCCTCTGGCCTTCCGAGGAGCTTCCTGGGCCTTCTGCGAAGCCGCAGAGGGCATCTCGGAAAGGCAGGACGGCGTGTGAGAAACCCGGCCACCTGGTGAGAAGGCCTCCCCCCCTCGCACATCCCCTTCTGGGCGCACCGCGGACTGCCGCAGCGGCAGCGTGGGCACTCTCGGCGCCGGCGGCGTGCTCGCCTCGGTGGCCCTCGTCGAGGCGGCCGCCCTTCGCACCCACCACTCGACCGGAGGAGGAGGAGGAGGAGGAGGAGGAGGAGGAGGAGGAGGAGGAGGAGGAGGAGGAGGAGGAGGAGGAGGAGGAGGGAGGAGGGAGGGAGGGAGGGAGGGAGGGAGGGAGGGAGGGAGGGAGGGCGCTGAGACGAGCATGAGCGCGGACACCCACGTTTGCGTTGCACCTTCGGGGGGCCTCGCCTGCCCCCCCAAATGCGTGTCTTTTCTGGTGCCCGACGCGGGCTCGGTGCAGACTCGACGTGGATGTGGCGTGGGTTCCACGTGGATTCGGCACCGATTCGACACGGATCCGACGAGTCCGACACGGATCCGGCACGGATTCGACGCGGATAGGGCCGCGGTTGGACAGACAAGGTTCCCCGAGGATGCAACAGAACGTTGAGGACAGGCGATTTTATCTGATTATTCGCAGGCGTTCCCCTCCGCATGCCTCGTCCTTCTTCTAGAATCGCGTTGGTGAAACACCAGCGCTGGAGCAAGCAAGCCCTGGGAGCAGAGGCTCCTCCTCCTCCTCCTCCTCCTCCTCCTCCTCCTCCTCTTCCTCCCTCTCTTCGAACTTCATCTCCTCCTCCTCCTCCTCCTCCTCCTCCTCCTGTGCGCCGCCATCCCTCCCTCTCGCTCTCCGTGCCCCGCGCCCGCGTCGGCGGCGCGGCCTTCGGCTTCGGCGCGAGGGGAGGCAGCGGCACGTGCGGCGGCGCTGCCGACTCTACACAGGAGGGAGGCCGTCAACCGTGGACAGCTCTTGTTGTTGGCAATACTGATGTCCATATCCACTGCAGTATGGAGTTTCGGGCTCCCTTCCCAAGAAACCCGAGGCGCACTGGATATGGATAAATTTGCGTCCTAGAGGCTCGATTTTTATCCATATCCAGTGCGCCTCGGCCTTGTGGCGCCGCTTCCAAAAAAGTCCAAGAGGCACTGGATATGGACATGAATCTTGCCCGCACTTGTCTCTGGACAGAAGGCTTAAGTTCACCACCCACCAAACCACCTGCAAATCCAACCCGGAGGCCCCGATTTGCCCTCTATGATCAGTTGGGGGGGGGGTCGGAGGACATCGAACAAACGCAAAAGAAGCCCGTACCCCCCCCAAGCCGAAGTTCGGGTCTTCGGGTTGGGTTAGGGTGGTCTGGTGGGTAGTCATAAGTCGGGCATGTCCCTCTACAGGAAGAACATTAAAACATAGTAAACAAATTAGTCTGGGGACGATCTTTCTACTATATTTGAGCCCGGTTGGCCATTTTTTGAGTATTGTTAATTCTTCGTCCAAAATCAGCTTGTAGGGGGGCATGCCCGACCTAGAAGTAGGCCGGTCAGATAGCAAATCGTTTTGCCATCAGCGGCCCCAGGGAAATGTCTTGTCGCCCGAAGGCCCCGTGGGATTCATGGATGGAAGCTCTGGGGCGCCTTTTGGACCCTCGCAAATCGACGAACACTGTGCCCCAATCTTTCTTGTGGCAACATGTCTTACCGTACGGGATGACTGAAGCGGCAACCTGCCTGGCGGTGGGCAAGGAGTGAGACGATCGGGGCTGGAAAGCCCTGCGAAAGTGCAAAGACGCTGGCTTGTCCGCAGTAGTGAAATTGACTTGAAGGTTTTCGCCACTCAGTCAGACAACAATCACTTAGCACAACTTCTGAAGGAGTTCAAACATGTTGCCTCTTCGGCACAGCTCGTGGTGCCATCTTCGAGCCTCTTGTGACCTCTTTCGGCTGCACTGGGCCATCGCGGCCTATCTTGAGCCTTCTTGGTGGCCCGCGGCCGTGCCACCATTCTGTTATGCGTTTCGTTTTCGGCTGCTCGGGGGCCGCTGTTTTGTTCACCCGCTGTTTTGTTCCAGAACGGCCCGCGCGACGCCGGCCAGCGTTTTCGCTCAAACTTCGTTTTGAAACGAAAACGAAACATGAACAGAAAATACTGTTCAGGTTGAGTCCTGCCTTCTTGGGTACCTCGGATAGCACTTGTGGGCTGTGCAGGGGCAGAGCGGATCGGTCCTGGGCAGCGCCAGTTCTGTGGCCCTGGAAGAGTCTCCAAGGTCCCGGGGGCCCCTGGCGAGCTCTTAGGGCCCTCCCTCGAACGAGATTTGGGAGTACTGGGGAGGGGCAACAAAGAGGAGGCATTATCACCTCCTCAGTATTGGATTCTCCCAGAGGAGGAATACTGGAGATACTCCACTATTCCTCCCCAGTGCTGGAGAGGGGCAACAAAGAGGAGCACGAATCCTGAGATGCGTGAGAGGAGGGGGGGCAGACACGCAGCTCACGTGCATTCTCACCCCTGGCAAGCGTGGGTCGGCGGGCAGGCAGGCAGTGAGGTGGTTCGCGTTGTGACTGCGCTCGCCTTCCAAGATATCCTCACTGCGCCGGGAGCTCATATTCGTTTGGGCCAGTGGACCACATCGCACTGCGATGATCGGCAAGGCTCGCCACAAGGAGTGCATGTGGCCTCGACCGTGGCAAGCCAGCTGATGTGTACACGGTGGGCCTGAATTGGTGCTGGCCTGGCAGGCTGTCTATGCGCAGCGGTCGCACGGCCAGTGCGTTTGTATTTTTCGGCCGGATGCACGGTGTCGCCAATGAGGTCGTGACGTTTGCTTCACCGGGGGCTGCCGAGAATGCGGCGAACTCGCTGTCAGGCCTGGCTCTATTTCCACTTTTGCAGTGCACTGTTGGCGCATGTGTTGTTTCACGTTGTGTTGTAGCCCACATGTTTCATCGTCATACTTCTTGTCGCATTTTCTTCAGGGCATCGTTTGCGGTTCCGTGAGATTCAGGTACGGGGAAAGCGTTGAAGGAACCGAGGGTGGCATCTTTCAATGTTTGGCAAGCCAGTCAGTTTCTCATCAAGTCCCCATGCAGAGCACCCCATTCAAGCCATCTCGAAGTCGGGAGCATCAAAGTACTTGTAATTTGGCAGGCTTCAGTTCTTTCGCAGATTGCTGAACGATTCGGGCAGCCGTACCCTCCCCCTTACCCATCGAGTCGTCTCTTTAGGCATGCCAGGTCTCAGTCAGTGTGCGTTGGTAGCTTCTGACTTTGCGTGTATGTTGTGTCACACTATTGTTGGCACACCTTATATCATCCCTTGGTGCCGATGGGTTGGGTACGTCGCCGGGCAATTTTGTCTGTGACCTTTCTGCGCGGATTGAGGATTATCGCTGGAGGATGGCACTGGCTCTGTGTCAAGATTGCAGTGCGAGCTGTTGCCACAGGACTGGGGGACGGCCGCTACACAGGGAATAGAAGGGACGGGCGTGGAATTGAGCAGGTAGCGAACCAGAGTGTATTACACAAGCGAGGGTAAACATGATAAGAACCAGCTTTTGGCATGTGATCGTTTTTTATTCATTGTTTTGCCGATCGGCGCGGGCCCTCGCACCCCTCCTCCCCCCCTCCCCCCGTGAAGTGGATCTTGGCTGCTTTTTGACATCGGTTTCGAGCGGGTGGAGTCTCCCCCAGAGGACGCACGGTCCGAAACAGTTGCACGAAGCGGAGGTCCGGAGCCAGACCCCCCCCCCCTTCCGCCCAATGTCGAAACGCCGAAAAAAAAACGCTCACCATGAGTCGATGCATTGTTGGCGGAGCAGCAGCCCTTCTGGGAGAGTTTGAATTCGATGCTCGGAGTTCTGGAATGGCCAGCCCAGTCGTTATAGGCTCAGCTCGATCGGCCGTGCGGATCGCACGTGCTCGTGCTGAGTACATGGCACTCGGTACGCCGAGAGTAACAGAGGTACACGATTCCTTGTTTGAGTCGACCAATACATGAAGCCATGCATGGGGCAGTGGGAACGGAAGGCGGGATCTGCCCAAAACAGTGCAGGCACTTAGGGTCCCTTCCTTGTTTTCTGAGGAGCTGGACCTGCGCGTCGGTCTGGTTCAGGAGGGGAAAAAACACACACAGACACAATGATTCGTCGACTCCCAGGAAATATGCGAACATATGGGAAGTGGGAGGAAGACAGAAACCCAGAACATATATGAAAATATGGGGAATCTTTTTTATGTGTGTGTATTTATTGGTGTGTTTGTGGGCCCCTTCACTGGTGGCCATTCGGCGGCCGTCGCCGCCGCGTCGCGGCCCCGTCGCCCGCCCGTCGTCTGGACCTTCGCGTCGGTCTGGCGGCTATGTGGTCGCCGTGGCCGCCCCGTCGCGCGCTTGTCGCCGCCCGTCGTCTCGGCCGAGGGCGTCGGTCTGGCGGCTGCGTGGTCGCTGTCGCCGCCCCGTCGCCTCGTCGCCGCTCGCTGTCGGGATGTGCATCCTTTCAACATGGAGGGGCCCACAAACACACAAATAAATACACACAAATGAAAATAGTCTCCATATGTTCCCATATATTCTGGGTTTTTGTCTTCCCCCTACTTCCCATATTTTCCCATATTTTCTGGGAATCGACGATTCATTGTGTCCGTGTGTTTTTTGTTCTCCTCCTGACAAAAGGAGAACCGTGATCAACCTCCCCACGCCCCAGGGTTTCACGGGAGACTTTTTCGTATGGTAATTTACATGTGGGTCTGCCCCATCGTCCATCTTGCATATGGAGTCGTGCTATCCCAGCCAGGCTGAAGTTCGACCCTCACCCCTTTCATCCTCTTGCAACAATTACTACGTGCGCACATTGGTTTATAGCAAATAACCAGCTTTCAAGAACCCCTTGCAACATATATGACAAAGTGCGCACGCGCGCGTCGTCGCGCGCGCATGCCGATAGCCTGCAAACACCGTAGGCTTCGTAAGGAATTCAAAATCAAGAGTCAGGAACACGTATACAAACGCGTTGTTTCGCAGCAAGGGTCTTCAAAACCAATTGCGCCCGCGTCCTGGTGATTCTTAAGAAAACCGTCGGTTGATCAACATTTTAAAATCATGCTACCAATCGGGCATCTCGCGCGCGCATGTCGAAATCTTTCGAAAGCCCTTGCGCGCGGCCTGTCGCAAAAATCCCTTGCAACACATGGGACTACGTGCGCACGCGCGCGTCGTCGCGCGCGCATGCCGAAATCCTTCAGACACCGTAGGCTTCGTAAGGCAAGTCGAGGGCCAGGAACACGTGACAACACACTGTTCCGCAACAAGGGCTTCCAAGAAAAACCTGCGCCCGCGCCCTGGCGAATCAAAACTGTCGTAACGTGCGACCAAACGACATCTCGCGCGCGTATTTCGAAACCGTTCGAAAGCTTTTGTTCGCGTGCTGTCGCAAGAGTCCCTTGCAACAAATGGCGTGTACGTGCACGTGTGCGTGTGTGTGTGTGTAGGTGTGTGTACGTGCGTGCGTGCGTGCGTGCGTGCGTGCGTGCATGCGTGTATGCGTGTGTGGTTGTGTGTGTGTGTCTGTGTGGCTGTGCGTTCATGCGTGCGTGCGTGCGTGCGTGCGCGCGCTCGTGTGCGTGCGTGTGCGTGTGCGTGTGCGTGCGTGCGTGCGTGCGTGCGTGTGTGTGTGTGTGTTGCCAAGGGTGGGCCGCATGCTTCAAGTAGTCCTCGCCTGCCGTCTCCTCCTCACGCTTCCCGTGTCCCCGCGCTGACCCTCGAAAGCTTGGTGCCCCCCACTCGAAGCAGCAGAAGTCAAACCGGGATCCAACACGGTAACAAGCAGGCAGACATTTCCGAAGCAGGTGGCATGAAGGGATGATGTGCCGCCTCGAGCGGTTGCTTGCGAACCGACCTCTGCGTTCGGACCTGCCCATCGGTCGTTGTAAGTCAGAGTGAGGGGGCCGAACGGTCATTCACTGTCCCTGCACGCGTGGCTGAATAAGGAATTCGTGGTGAGAATTCTGCTTGTTGCGTTGCTGTTGGTGTTTGTTGTCGTCGTCCCACCCGCGACTCAGCACGAGCCACCCGCGACCCACCCAAGACCCACCCCGCGACCCATCCGCGACCCGTCCGCGACCCACCCGCGACCCACCCCGCCACCCACCCTCAAGGGAGGACAAGCCACCCGGACCCGACCATTGACGTTTACTAAAAGGCCTTGGGCGTTGACTTAACAGCCCTGCCCTGTTCGATTCATGTCTTGTGTGCGTTTACTAAGCGGCTTCGTTTGTCGGGGCGATTATTGTGATGCTGATTTTTCTGCCCTTTACACTGACCCAACAGCGACCCACCCGCGACCCATTTGCGACCCACCCGCGACATACCCACTTTTGTTTGAAGAAAAAATCGGCGCCTGCGGCGGGCTCGTTGAAAAATTTGTGAAACTTTGGCGCCTGTGGCGGGCTTCTCCAGAGTCTCGCAAATTGCCGACTTCCCCACCGCCCCCTCACTCTCATCCGCATCTGCGATGTGCTACGTAGGTATTTTGGGAGACCCAGATTCAAATCTATTTGAAGCGCCTTCTTACTTCAATGATCGAGTGGCGTCGCCTTTCCGTCCTCCGTAGGGGGCGGACGGAACCCAATCTATGTTCAACGCCTTTCTGTTTCATGTTTCAATGTGTTGTTTCCCACACATGGGTATGGTTGCATGCCTCCGCATCCTTAAACATTCTCGCCGCTTCACGCAACCCCACCAGCACTATCCAGAAACGATGCCCAGAGGAGTTGCCTCGATCAGGGAAGTGCTCTTGGAGCGTCTCGGGTGCCTCGGGGAGCTTTTCGGGGCCTCTTGGGGGTCTCTCGGGAGCTTCTTGGCAGCATCATGGGCGTCTCTTGGGGCCTCCTGGGGCCTCCTGGGCGCCTCTTGGGGCCCTCTTGAAGCGCTCTTGGGAGCCTTGGGAGCGCTCTTGGGACGATCTTGGAGGACATCAATCAAACAAGAGGGGAGCTTTAATTTCAATCCACGCACCTCCCCAAGAGGCCAACATCAGACACAAACCCTGGTAAAACCAATCATTTTGGTTTCCTCGCCGAGGCCGTTTGGGACGCCCTGACACATCGCGACCGGCCCCGTGCGGGTCCAGGGGAGAGGGTGGGGGAGGGCTCAAGAGTTCCCCTCCCCGCCCGCAAAGCCGTCTCGCTCACTCCCACCAGCCCTCCCAACACATACGCAGCACCCGAGTCTGGCCCGAGCCTCAGCATAGTCAGCAGTCGTCTTTGGATGGGCAGCTACTGGGGGCCAATCCGCCGCCGCCGCCGCTCGCCGCTGCCGCCCGCCGCCGCCGCTGCCGCGCCACCGCCGCCGCCGCCGCCGCTGTCCGCCGCCGCCGCCGCCGCCGGCGCCGCCCGCCGCCGCCGCCGCCGCCGCCGCCGCCGCCGCCCCCCCCCGCTGCCGAATCGCAGCCGCCGCAGCCGCTGCCGCCGCAGTCGCTGCCGCAGTCGCTGCTGCCACCGCCGCAGCCGCCGCAGCCGCTGCCCCCGCCGCAGCCGCCGCCGCCGCGAAGTGTACTCTGTATTGCTTGCTTGGTGGGGGGAGGCCGCATCAGGTTCGCTGCGCAGGCTCCGAATTTGGAGACAGAGTGTGTGTTTGTTTTGTTTTTGCAAGGGATGGTGGGGGCAGAGTGTGTGTTGTATTGTTTTTCCCCAACCCTCGTTGGTTGGGTATTCGTTTTGAATAAGGGACTGTGGTCTCCACCTTCCTTCCTCTCGCCCCCCTCCTGCCTCCTGCCTGCCTCCTCCAAAGCTCGGGTGTTCTCACGACTAGGCAAACTGAAACACGACAAGAGAAGACTGAAACCCGAAAGGCACGGCTTATTCACGACAAGCATAACGCAATTTCGCCACCCACATTCGCCGCCCACTTTCGCCACCCACTTTCGCCACCCACATTCGCCGCCCACTTTCGCCACCCACTTTCGCCGCCCGCTTTCGCCACCCACTTTCGCCGCCCACTTTCGCTACCCACTTTCGACACCCACTTTCGCCGCCCACTTTCGCCACCCACTTTCGCCGCCCACTTTCGCCGCCCACTTTCGCCGCCAACTTTCGCCACCCACTTTCGCCGCCCGCTTTCGCCGCCCACTTTCGCCGCCCACTTTCGCCACCCACTTTCGCCGCCCACTTTCGCCGCCCACTTTCGCCACCCACTTTCGCCGCCCACTTTCGCCGCCCACTTTCGCCGCCCACTTTCGCCGCCCACTTTCGCCACCCACTTTCGCCGCCCACTTTCGCCACCCACTTTCGCCACTTTCGCACTTTCGCCACCCACTTTCGCCGCCCACTTTCGCCGCCCACTTTCGCCACGCCACTTTTCGCCGCGCCCACTTTCGCTACCCACTTTCGTTCGCCACCGCACTGTCGTTCGCCACCAACTTTTTCTGGCCACCCACTTTCGTTCGCAACC